GAGACGTATTTGCAGTGGATAGAGGTCGTTTGGAAATGATTGGGACCAGGAATTGACTTTTCGGTACAGTCAGTTCCAGCGACTGGTGTTGGAAACGATTTCCGGGTCGGCGCTGTACATCAAATCTTTTGAGATTTTGTGCGACACGATATTGCAACACGCTCCTTCGCAAAACCAGCCGGCGAACAATGACCCAGGTTCTTCGACGACCACTCCGCGATTAGATCTGACCGTCTTCGGGTACCCGGACTATGGGTTGCAGTTCAACGGAACCGACTGCTACGACTGGGACTACGAGCCAACGACAAAAAGTTCGATGCAAATCCGCGGGTGGGACGTGAAAAACGCGAGCATGAATGATCCGCACGCGGTTTGGGACGGGCAGGACATGACCATGAAGGGGTTGTGGCAGTTATGCATTGCAAAAGCATCCTACTAGTATAATTTGCATCACAAATTTTCTCAAGAACAAAAATGCAATTTGTCATGCTAGTTCCGGTAGAAAGTTGGATTTGTCATGCAAGAATGCAATTACTACGAGTGCGATAGAAGTACTTTTGCAATGAATAGCAGGCGTGCGGACACAACTACTGGTTCCAAGACGGGGCGATTGACTACACGTTTTCCGCTTACGGGACTATGGAGGTTTCGTTTTACCTCTGCAACACTGGTAGTGGCTCTGGGGTAATGCCGTATCCTGAGTAAAAACGTCCCCACCCCAGAGTCAAGATGGGGAATCTGCTACACAAATCAGCCAGCTTTGGTTGCTGTGCATGAAAAGTTTTGCCTCGTAGTTTGATGCTGTTTAGCTGGTCCAGCAGCATCACAGATCTAGCATATGATGCTTGTTGGAGCATGACAAATTCCGAAACACAACTAGAAAATGCTTCTCATGGGGCTGCGCATGAGAAACATTCTCAGCATACGGATTAGCATTACAACTATGGGGTGGGGACGTTTTTCCTTACGATATGCCGAATGTGAACTTCGCTCTCTCCGGGAAAAACCAGTTCGGCACGCACTACGACAAGAAGATCCTGAATCACAACAAAGGTAACGCGCCGTACAACGAATTCTCGCAGCATTTGACGCAGAGAATCAAGTTTGCCCCCGGACAGAAGCTATCGATTCTAATCGCCGGGGGAAGTAACACGATGGCGATGGCGATTACGCGAGTGCGGGTCCGGTGTGAAGCGCCGCGGCAGACACACACGGTCAGTTGTGCGAATCGCGAGTCGATTGCGGAGACGTGGGAGTTGGGGAGCAGTATGGAGTGGCTGAAGGACCCGTTTAGTGCGGAAATCGTGAATCCGAGGGTATATGGCACTACAACACCAGATCCGGGTACAAGTACCCCCGACCCAGGTACCACGACCCCCGACCCCGGGTACACACCAACCACCCCCGACCCCGGCGCCACCCCAGACCCCGACTACGGCTACTGCGGGGGGAACATGACGTTACGCGGGAACGGCAAGAAAGACTTCGACAACCACTTCATCCCGCGGTGGATCGCGCATACGCCCAACGCCAGCACCATCGGCCGACTGGACTTCCCGTTGAACGGGACCGGGGGTTACGTCCGCTTTGTCTACGGCAACTGCTACCCGGAGGAATTGACTCAAGCCGAGGAATCCCAGCAAGTAATCGCCGCCTACATCGAGCATGTGGACGGGTCGAGCACTTTGGTCGATCAAGTGTGGAAGAAAAACACGGATCGGGAAGTCACCGTTCCCTACGTCGCCGGGGATCTTTTGAGTTTACGGGACGAAGGGCCGGGGAACTACGCCCGGATTTACTTGAAGCAGATCCAAATCCTGTGTGATTTCAAAATCCCCGACGGAAGCAGCACCGATCCGTCGAAGTGCATGGACAGTGCGGAGAGCGACAATTATAACTACTACCCGACGACCGCGGATTCGATGCTTTCGCGCGGGTGGCGGGTGGACTCGGCGGCAGATTCTAACGGGTTGATGTACTACGAGTCCTGGGACACGGATGCGACGACTGGGTTGACGGATACGTTGATCCGTAGTTGTCCGAACGCATTTCTTATGCCTTGCAAATATGTCTGGGTCTGGAGCGATGCAGATTTTTGTCATGCGGTTTTTTCACCACACAGAAGATCTGGCATGCAAGGTCTAGCATTACAGGTTTTGAGAAGTAGCTGCGTAGATGCCTAATCCGCACGACAAATTGCCTATTTTGCCGGTGACAAAAGCGAGCAGCATTTGCTGTCTATGCATGAGAGATTTTTGTGTGTTGTGAAAAGCGCACTACAAGTTTCACCGATGCAGACCCAGACATATTTGCATTTGATATTTCTGGGCAGAAACGAGGGCTCGCCCGACTACAAGAGAAAACAGATAAAACTACCCATGCACGGGTACGGGCGGGTGACGGTGACTTTCGGAAATTGCAACGACGCAATTACGATGTCGAATCGGGCGGTATTGTTCTTTGGATGAAAGTTCTGAATGTTGTGTTTTCTGTTGCTCAGTTTTTACGATTACTTCCTCTATACGGGCAATGGGGTTGATTGCTCACGGCTTATGTTCATTTGAAATGATTGAAAATCTTCATTCCTGATTTGGCATTAGATTTTCCCACACAGCATTTTTTTGCCCGAATGCGAGTGTTTAGCATGGCCTATTCTGGTGACCCTGGTTTTGATATGTTTCTTCGAGTAATTGCGCGGCTAGCACAACTGGTAGTGCGCCTGGTCGAGCCTGGTGGTGTGTGGAGGTAGTCCCGCTGGTTCCGGTCAAGGAACTGCTGGCAGTGGTTGTCCTCTGCTCATCACGCCTGATCGCCGGTACCGGTGCCACCCAGACAAGACCAGTCTGACTTGGGGAGTGTGATCAGGAATCTCCTTCTGGAGATCGGGTTCCAGGAGTGGAAAGCAAAGAACGCATGCACTCCCGTCTGAGATCAAGACGGACCAGGAGGTCCGGGTTCGAATCCCGGAACGGCAACTTTTTCGCTTGCTTTTTCGAGTTTTTTCTCTTCGTTCCGAAAAATGGAAACGCAGTTGGCCCCTGCCGAGGGCAGGAAGTTTTTGCGAAGCAAAATCGCTTGAAAACGCTGGCTATAGATTGTCCATTCGCGGTATTTTTTGCCCGAATGCGAGTGTTTAGCAGGGGTTATTCTGGTGACCCTGGCTGTCACGTGGTTCTGCGCTACAATGCGCGGCTAGCACAACTGGAAGTGCGCCCGGTCGGTCCTGGCAGATCCTAAGGATCGTTAACCACCTGATCGCCGGTGCCGGCACCACCCGCTTGCGCAAGCGGGCTGTGCGGTCAGGTTTCTCCTGCTCTAATGGCAGGAGTTCAGGCTGAAGTAATCAGTGCGTTTGCCGACCTGATCGCGGCATATAAACATCCGCCGGAAGGCGTCGGCCGGTTCGGATCGGCACTGAATTACAGATGGAATGGACTAGGAGGTCCGGGCTCGAATCCCGGGACGCGCGCCTTTCTTCTTTGTTGCGCGACTGCTGGTTTTGCGCTTAAAATCGCCCGTGGATGGCTGTAGATTGTCCACTCGCGGCATTTTTTGCCCGAATGCAAGTGTTTAGCAAGGGTCATTCTGGTGACCCTGGATTTCATTCGTTCGAGCATGACAATGCGCGGCTAGCACAACTGGTAGTGCGCCTGGTCGAGCACGCGACCGTGAGGATTCCAGGGGATATCAAAGTCGCGAGTCGACTAAGTGAGTCCCCTCCTCGCGCGTCGCCTGCACGCTGGACAGAGGCGTAGTCAGGTATCTCCCCCGGTGGAGAGCGTGCAGATTGATTGATGGAGGTCGCGCCAGCCGCGAATGCGAGCCAGCAGAAAATCCGCTTTCAATCCAGATAAAACGACTAGGAGGTCCGGGTTCGAATCCTGGAACGCGCCTTTTTTTGATTGTTTTTCGCTGTCTTCGTCGCCTGTTATTACGCGTCGCAGTTTTCTGCACGGAAAAGTAGCGCGTTCCGGGATTCGAACCCGGACCTCCCAGTCCTCGCGTACGTCGAGGCGCGCGGCGCGGTGTCTTCCGACACTCGTCTTCCGCACGGGTAACCTGATCTCGTGTTAGCACGAGCAACCGGGTGCTACGGCTCTCGAGAGATTTTCTCAGTCCAAGCCTCCGGCGGCAGGTTTATTTTCCCTGGCTCACCGGCCCCCCGCCCAGGCACAACCGGGCGCACTTCCGATTGTGCTAGCCGCGCATTGAATTGTGGGGGAACAGCGTAGAGCTACCTAGCCAGAATAGCTTTGCTAAACACAGGGTTGTGAGCAAAAGGATAGAAAAACTAGCTGCTGCAAAAAACAACTGCTCCCGCAGCGAGATTTGCAGTACTGAGTTATATGCTCGAAGGAGTCCTTACGCCAAACGGGCGCTTGGTATGTTCTACGTCTCATACGAGCCAGACTTTGGCTTCGCCGGAAAAATGCGCGTTCTGGGATTCGAACCCAGACCTCCTAGTCCGAGTGGCAGTTTCCCACTCTATCCGTCTGCAGTTGGGTGCCAGCACTTAGCCTACGCATAGACAGGTCGAGGACGCACCTTAAGGACCCCCTGCACGCTGATCTCCTACGCATTGCGAAGGAGCTTACGGCGCTAACGCGGCGCATTTACCGCGCGCGCATTCAGAATCGTCCAAGCGCGCTGCCAATTGTGCTAGCCGCGCAACTAGGAGAGGAGGAAACGCGCAGCCAGGGTCGCCAGAATACCCTGTGCTAAACACGAGAGTTCGGGCAAAAAATGCGAAAGGTTGTGGGCTTTCCGCTTTATCGCGACAGATTTGCGTTGCAATGGATGCTTCAGTGTCTGTGCAAAAGATAAAGAAGCCCTTGATAAAATAATACCCAAACTATCACAGACCTCCAACGCCACCGTCTTTCTCGAGGGCGACAACCGGTGGGGTTTACCCTTCGAGCAGCTGAAAGTCGCGAACGGCACTGGAATTACCAACGTCACCGAAACGCTGGAATTCCACCCGAACCAAACGTTGGTGTTCGAAGCAAACAAAGACGCGGTGTTGTTTATCCACCACATTCAGATCGAGTGTATTCTCCCCCCAACGTCCACCACGACGACCACGACGACAACTTTAACGACCACCACCAACCCGGACTTCCCCGAATTTTCCGGCACAGTCCCGCGATGGTTGAACGCGGTATCAACTGTAAAAATGTCTGGGTCTGGAAGAGTCATGCTGCTTTTGCATGACACAGAAGGTCTGGCATGGAAGCGCTAGCATCACAGGTTTGGAGAAGCTTCCGCAATGGCAAATCCGCATGACAAATGCCCCATTTTGGTGACAGAAAGTGGGCAGCTTTTGCTGCGTGTGCATGAGAGATTTTTATGTGTTGTGAAATGCGCATCACAAGTTGCATTTCTCCAGACCCAGACATATTTGCATTCCATACGCGGACACCATGAACAACCTTTTGTACAACCAGGAGACGCAGACTTTAAATTTGAACCAGATCCCGCCGCAAGGTGGCGCTACTATTGGTGGCAGCAGCAGCTCCACCACCAGCAGTTCAAGTTCTCCACCCCCGAATCCACCGAGGAAACTGTTAGCGGGAATTGGAGGTGGGAAGAGTGCTGTTGTTCCAGCAGCTGGAGCTGGTGTAGCTCAGCAGCATGACAAATCGACTTCCGAGAACAAGTCCCGGTCTCTGCAGTACCGCGCCAACTTGGACTACACAGATGGGATTTTCGGGCAGAACGAACACTACGAAGAGATCGACATTTCCTTTCTCATGAAGGAATTCTGCAAGGACTGGGCCGCGGGGCAGTTGTACGATTTTAGCACAAGCCCAACCAGTTTCGGGATGTTCATTCCCAATCCCCCCCAGCACTACAAAAACCACGGCAAAAAGGTGTACGATTTGCCAAATCTCCGTGAAACCGTGTACCAAGACCAGGGCAGCATGGTGCAGAATCTGCCACGCGCGATGTTCAATTTGGAGCTGCAAATCGCCGATGACAGCCCGGTCGTCCAGCCGTTCAAAATCAACGCCGGGAAGTTCCGATTCATGAGTCGGTTTCACGACCGGGAGTTTGATTCTTCCACCGGGCCTTTGCTCCGGCATACAAAAGAAGGTCCGTGTGAGTACTACGCGGGGTACCTACACAAAGAAAAGGATTACGGCCACGGGTTGACGAGCTGCTTGGGGTCGCCACAAGATACGAAATGCACTGTCGATTTCGACGCGAACGAGTTCGGGTACAAATGCGAATGTACGGAGAAGCAGAATGAGAAACACCTCTACCCGTTGGTGAACCCCAACAACACCTGGATGTTCGGGTATTTCCAGGGGATGCAGAACAGCAAAAACTACACGAGTCCAACGAGTATCGGTCGGCCGATGTGCTTGATCCGGGATCCGTGTATCAAGGGGAACGTGCATGGTTTATGGCCGGAGAGCCCGAGCACGAGCATGAATCCTTGTGGCGGGAATGAGTACGTGCATATGCACAGCTTAACCAGCATCCACCACTGCAAGAATGTGAATATCGAAACGGGTTCTTACGAGTGTCAGTGCCAATCTGAGGACTACATTTCCCACATCACCTACGCAAACGAATCGAATTCCATCCCAGCGCGGGAGGGGAAGCCGATCTGTAAATACGTGAACCCCTGCGAGATCAACAACCCGGGTGGGTTTTGGCCGTATTCTGCACCGCACGCCCCCTGCGGGCCTGATGGGTTCTTCACGTCCTGTCACAACAACGGGAAACAGCAGTACAGCTGCAGCTGCAGCCCTGGGTACATGAGTTCGGTCTACCCACCAACCTACGCCGCTATCAAGTGCAAAAATGTCTGGGTCTGGAAGATTCTGAGACCTGTCATGCAAGTTTTGCATGAGCCATGATGTCTGTGATGCATGCCCTAGCATCAGAGACTTTTTGAGGACTTCTGGATGCCTATTCCGCATGACAAATGCCCTCTTCCCGTAGCAAAAACTACACTCCCGCCATTGCTGCTCTTGCAATACAGATTTGTTTGGAATCCAATTGCAGCATCACAAGCTGTATCCTTCCAAACCCAGACATTTTTGCATTTGATACCCGCGGTGCCGATCTTACGTGGACGACCGGTCTGCGTTTCGCCCGAAGCGCGGAAGGCGTGTGTTACCGGGCCGGTGGAGGATGCCTGCTACGATTGGGAGGATTTATCTTTCTCCGCAAACAACTTCTTCAAACCGGGAATGAAAGTGACTATTGGCCCCCACAACGTCGGCTTACTCCGCTATCCTGTGCAAAAGCATCGTATTAGTAGCAATTGCATTACAAATTGGCTCAGCATGACAAATGGAGTTTGTCATGCTGTTTTACGTTGGGGTGGAGATTTGTAATGCATACCTGCGATTACTACGAGTGCGATACTTTTGCAATGCATATCCGCATGGTGAACGCGACGAAAACGTCGAGTAGACTACCTACTTGGTTCAAAGAAGTAGTCGCGTTGGAATCCACCGCGCAGACGAGTTCTGTATCAACTGCAAATATGTCTGGGTCTGGAAACTTGTGATGCTAAAATGTGACTAGTGGGCGGACTGCAATACGCAGCCAAGCATGACAAATTTTTCAACTGCTACTGTGTTTCGTTTTCCGCATGACAAACTGCGTTTTTGCATGACAGGCAAGAGGCTCTTTTCCTGCTCATGCATTACAGATTTACGAGTCACGCCAGACAAGCATGACAAACTTGCATTCTTCCAGACCCAGACATATTTGCATTTCACATTCTCGGTTTGACTACTACGAGGCGACGGTTTTGGAAGTAGTGGATTTTAACTCGTTGGGCGAAAATGTGCGCACTTCCGCGAAGGAGATGCTTCGGCAGTTGAACGTGAAAATCCGATTTGACGATAACAAGTACAAAGGCGTTGTCGGCTGGCTGTCTTCCCAAGTTCTCAGACCGTCTCCCTGGCCGGTCGACCGAATGCAGGGGAACGGGCTGACGACGTGCGCACCTTCTCCCGACGGCAGTGCGCATAATTGCGCGTGTAATGGTCAGTTTTTTGACCACGTACCGGCGCAGTTGAGAGCGGATAACAGTATCGGGGAGTTCTGCCGGTTGAAGCCGCAGTACCGAGGGGACCAGTTGTTAACTACGATCGGCCCTTCTGGCTGTACTAGCACGCAAGAGGCTAGTTGCGAGGTCTTCGTCCCAGGGTCATCGACGAAAAGAACCGGGAACCGCTGTGTCGCCCAGTCCCCCTTCTCCCTTACCAACGTCGATGTGGTGAATTTCAACGGGCCACAGACCAGCTACAGCTGTGAATGTGAACCGATCGGGTATCAGCCGGGGAATGGCGGGAAAGCGTGCATGACGAATCCGAAGATTGAACAAGAATGCGCAACTGCCTGTCCATCACCGCACAACTGCAAAATTGTCCACGTTTGCGGGGGTAGTGATAATAACGAATGCAGGCGGAGACGGGAGTGTCAATGCACCAATGTTGGTTTCACCCGGAAGAGGGAACGAGAGCATTTATTTGATTCGAACAAGAATAGCGCCTTATTCACCGACGCAAACTCGAAAACCGTGAAGCAATCCGGACAGTACTTATCCACGATTTCCCACGGGGGAACCTGCGATTCCCGCTGCCTGGACATGTGCTTCGCGAAATTTACTCTTCAAAACTCCGCGGTCCACGCGATGCGGAGATTTGGAGCTTTGAACCAGGGTTTCAACCCGAACAATTTGTTAAGCAGCCACGCCGACACCTTTCTCTCCGATTGTCTTTCCCGAGCTTCTCTCCCTATCCGCGCGGGAGGATCTTCTTCGCTTGAAAAGGTGTTGGAACCGCACGTCCATGCGTTTAACCGAGTCGAGGACAACCGAGTGCAACTAGAGAAGCAGCAGTGCTGCCGGCACTACCAGTCATTATTCGGCTGCGTTTTGAGAAAGTGCGCGGTCGGAGACCCAAGGTCGGAAACGACGCTCATGCAGTCACAGTTTTCCTCGACCTACACGACCCAGTGCTTAACCCTCGACGGCGACACGGATTTTTCCAACCCCTTTCACCCGGGGAACTTGATGCAGTCTTGGATGGTGCGAGATCGGTACGCGCTGGCGTCTTCGTTAATTCTGGAGTTCAAGACCGTGGCGGATAAGCAGGTGTTCATGAACCGGTACTTGTCAAGTAACAATAACAATTACAACTTCGTCGTATCGAACAGCAATGGGCAGAACGGCGTGTTTGAGCCGCACAACTTCGGCTACGGGCCGAACTTCCTCGAGGAGCTGAAGACTTTTTTAAGAGCCGAGATGCTGAAAATAGTCCGGAATAACAATTTGCAGCACGGGAATTTGGAAATGGAAGACGATTCTGTCGAAGTCGTGCAGTTCCGGGTGGATTCGAGTCCGAAGGGGTTTTTGGGTGATTCGTCTGTTCAGGTTCATGGGAGTTCTGGGAATTTAAACACCTACGTCGGCATGACAGAACAGTACGGAGCATCGGTAACTTCCTTCACAACCGACCAGAATTTCCCGAACACGGACTTCTACAAGCACAATTCGGATCTGAACAACGAGAAAAGAATCAGGATCGACGTCGCTGTCGGCCCGTTTAGGCAGACAGCGAATTCCTTGTCCTCCGCGTCTTACCCCTGTGCAACAGACGCGAATGACGCGATTGAGATCAACAACGGCAACGGGGTGACTGGCAGTAATTCTTTCCTCTACGATTTCGAGCAGGTCACGATGAACAACTTCGGTTCCATCCCGGACGTGATCGACTTCGCATCCCAACCGAAGGCGTATTTGTCGAACCACTGCATGACGATCTGGGACAAAATTGAGGATAGGTTAGCGGAAAGCTTTCTTCACGCGAATCGAATGCGGGGTTTCTACCATTCTGGGCGAACGAAAACCTCCCAGCAGTTTGAACCGTCTGTCGCATCTTCGACAACGACGTTTGTGAATAACCAGATCCAGATCAAAGCGGATAGAGCTTTCTACGTGGAAAAAGAGTACGACAACGCCGAGGGGAACGTTATCAACGATCCGAATGACCCAAACAAGTTGAATAAAATCATCGTCGGAAAATTTTTGGAAATAACCCCAGACGTTTCCGCCCCACCACACAGCGGCTTCCAGCGGCCGGTCATCTTTCCGGACTACTACCGCGCCGGGCAGTTCGCATTTTTGAAATTCGAGATTGAAGAGGAATTGTTGCACATGATTTGTCAAAACGACTTTGTGCAGGGGAGAGATCCGAACCAAGTCTCGGGGATGAATAATTACGTACGGACGGAATCCATTCTGTCCCCGATGGTGAACGTGAAAATCCCGAATCGGTTGGCTGTGAATCTCGAACTGTACCTATCCTATGTAAAAACATCCCCACCCCAGAGTTGTCATGCAGATTTGCAAGCACAAGAGCATTTGTAATGCGCATCCCCATGAGAGGCATTGCCCATCGTGTTTTAGAACTTGTAATGCTGTAAACAGGATAAGGAGACGGATTTCTTATGCTGCTTCCCTTGCTAAACTGCACTACAGTACAGCCTGCAACATGTCATGCGTGACTCCCAAAAGGTCTAGGTTTGTGTTGCAAAATCCCCATCTTGACTCTGGGGTGGGGACGTTTTTACACGGGATATTACCTAGATTCCACCCAACAACTCCAAGAACCGACGGATGACGGAATATCCTGTGCAAAAGTATCGTACTCGTAGTAATTGCGGTCATGCATTACAAATCTCCCTTTTTAGCTGGATCAGCATTGCAAATTCCTTTTTTCCTTTTGGAAAAATTTGTAATGCAATTTATACTAGTACGATGCTTTTGCAATGCATACGGGAAATACCTTAGTGATACCGGTGCTAGCCCGAAAATCTGTATCGAGGTATCAAATTCAAATATCTCTGGGTCCGGAAAAATGCAAACTTGTCATGCATATTTTCAATGCCCCATGAGGTCTGCGATGCAGGACCTAGCATGACAGGTTCTGTGAAGCCTCTATCATGTCTATCCTGCATGACAAACTGCCGCTAAACATGTTCAAACGTGGACACCTTTTGGTAATCATGCAACACAAAGTTTTGCACTATCCAGACTTAGCATGACAAGTTGCATCCTTCCAGACCCAGACGCTTTTGCAATGCATACGAGGTGTTGGACGAGGATGTCAGTTCCAATTCTCTCTCCCCTATCAAATGTAAAAATCCCTGGATGTCTGGAAACTTGTGATGCTGGTTGGCGTATCATGAGGCGGCCACAAGTGCTGGCTCAGCATGACAAGTTTCTGAGCTTCGAGGTGTGGCCTAGTCTGCATGACAAACTGCGTTTCTGCATGACAAAAAAACGAGGCTCTTGGGTAACGTGCATGACAGACTTTGGGGTCATTCTGGCAGAGCATGACAGACCTTCCATTCATTTTTACAATCCATATCCCCGGGGAATGTGCAAAGTTTGGATAAGAACAATATGCCGATGCTGTTACCGTTAACCGATTCGACCGCTACGGGGAAGAAGTTTCCGGTCGGGTTATCGAAAGGAGAAATCCCCCCTCCCCATATCGAAAACGAAATTTGTGATGCTGTATTTGAGGTCACAAATCGACTTGTCATGCTAGAAGGCCAAGAGCCGCAGTCGTGGCCTCCTTTGCACGCAATTTGTCAGGCTGTTTCCCACTCTCAGCTGCCTCCTATCATGCTGAAGATGCAAGGCTTCCCCACGCCACTACAGTCCGCGTCTTTTCCCGTGTAGCATGACAAAGCTGATTTGTGACAACAAATCTGCATCACAGATTTCCGTTTTGATATGGGGAGGGGGGATTTTTCCTTTTGATACGGGTCGAACCCGGAACAGATTCCGGTGAATCAAAAGTTCGTCGACTCGATGCAGACGGACAAAGTATGGATTGCAAAAATGTCTGGGTCTGGAAGGTTGGAACTTGTGATGCCAAGTCTGGACTGTAAAAAAATCTGCATTGCATCACCAGCAAGACGAGGAGTCCAGTTTGTGCTACGCGGGGAGGGCATTTGTCGTGCGGAATAGGCATCAGGAGGGCCTCTCAACGTCTGTGAAGATGCTAGATCATGCATTACAGACACCCTGGGTCAATGACAAAATATGCATGACAAACCTGGCAACCTTCCAGACCCAGACACTTTTGCACTTGATACAAAGCGAGATGCGACTACTTGATCGACCGGAACCAGTTCGGGCTGAAGCAATTGGACATCACCGCTTTGCTGTTGAACAAGTGTGCGAAAGATTTTGTATGCACTGCAAAAATGTCTGGGTCTGGAAACTTGTGATGCTAAAATGTGACTGGTGGGCGGACTGCAATACGCAGCCAAGCACGACAAATTTTTCAGCTGCTACTGTGTTTCGTTTTCCGCATGGCAAACTGCGTTTTTGCATGACAGGCAAGAGGCCCTTTTCCTGCTCACGCATTATAGATTTAGATTTATGAGTCAACATGCCAGACATGCATGACAAACTTGCATTCTACTTCCAGATCCAGACATATTTGCAGTTCATATTTTGAACAAGAGGACACCTACATCCAGCCTTTATCCGGAAATAGTGGCGGCGGGGGTGGTGGATCCCCTCCGCCGCCGGGCCCGGTTCGGGTTGTCTACAACGCGTACATGACGGCGGATAAGGACAAGGCTATCCAGTGCAAATATGTCTGTGTCTGGAAAGGTGGAACTTGTGATGCGCATTTCACAACACACAAAAACTCACCATGCGCAAACCGCAGAAGCTGCCCATTTGTGTCGCCGAAATTTTAGTGGATTTGTCATGCGGATTAGCTATCGACCCACCTTTTCAATAAAACCTGTAATGCTACATCATGCATGACAAACCTTCTGGGTCACGGAATAAAAGCAGCATGACAAAAAGCTGCTTCCTCCCAGACGCAGACGTATTTGCAACGCATAAGGATTTGCGAGGACCCACTCCGGATCCCCCTGACCTCCGTCTGCAAGGACGTGACCTGCGGTTCCGGTTGGGGCCCGCTACCAAATGCAAAAATGTCTGGGTCTGGAAGAGCCAAACTTGTGACGCTGCATTTGGATGCTAAAAAAACCTGTATTGCATGACAAGCAAGAGGATTCAATATATTGGCTACGCGGAGAGGGCATTTGTCATGCTGGATGCGCATAGATAAGCGCTCAAAAAACCCGTGATGCTATGGCATACATCACAGACATCATGGATCATGGAAAATGTGCATCACAAAGTTGTGCTCTTCCAGACCCAGACATTTTTACATTTGATACCCCCGGGAGGCGTGCGAATCGGAGTGTAACAAGCTCAGCGAGTGCAAGTACATGGCGTACTACTCCAACGACGGATGCTATTCAAGAAAGAAACTGTGTAAGTGTAAGTCTGTAATGCGAGGCATGCAACACGGTTACTCCCGCAGAGGGAGCGAAAGAGCACGGCCCGAGCGAGTGAAACTGTCTCGATTTGCGTGAAAGGGTCCCGAAAATGAAACGCGCAGCGCTCCCCGGAATCGATTCAAATAAAACGCGAACGCCTGCCGGGGCGGTTGGCAAAAGAAAGACAGGGAAGCGGCCAGAGGCCGGCGCCCTGGGGACGGCGACGGCCCTCCCGGCGCCTGCGCTCCCAGACCGTGACAAATAGCAGGCAAAGTGGCCGCCGCAGCCGGCTCTATCAATCTTCCTTGTGCCCGTGCCGCGGCCGCTGCGTAGTTGTGTTGCTCTGAGTTTCATTTCGCGCCGCCCCGCGGGAATTTGCGTGGCCCTGGGCGAGCGGGCCGGACGCCCGTGGTAGAGGGCGCCGAGCCTCCGCGCCCTTGCCTGGTCGCTGCGCCTTTGCCAACCAGATCGGGCCCCAGTCGCGGTAAATTATAAAAATTCAGGGCGTGACTTTAAAAAATCCCGCAGAGGACTTGCGCTGCGAAAAAAAATTTGGCGCGGATGGTGGGAGTTTCTGCATTTTCCGCGCTGCCTATCGTCCTGCTTGGTTTCCGGGCGTGCCTTTGGGCGTGGTGGGAGGGCCTTTGGGATGGTCCGCGTTTTGTTTGGGGTATGCCGGGCCCTGCGGTGTCCTGCGTTTCTTATCCTGTGGGATTCTTCCGCGACCGCTGTGGGGTTAGCTGTTGCCGGCCGCCGGCCGACCGGCTTTTCTTCCGGGATTTGAAACGCGGAGCCGGGTACTTTTACGACAAAAAACTGCATGGATTACGACAAGAATTTTGAAAAAGTTTCAAGAAATTCTAAAAAAACTGTCGCTGGAAAAACATGAGGAAAATCGAAGCCCTATGGTCCGGCTTTCTGCCGTTTTTATTTTTTTCGTAATTTCGGCAGACCTTTGAAAGATCAGCTGCAACTTTTTTGCACCTGATGCACGTACGAAACGCAGGGAAACGACGCAAAAAACCCGGAGGGTGGTGCTGTCGCTTCGCGTGATCCAGCCCGTGACCCACCGCCCAGAGCCGGCGCGTTTGGCGCGATGGGTCGCAGTTCTTATCTGGATGAGCCGCCCGGCTTGTTCTTCTCCCTTTCGGGGCTCCCATTTTTCGCCCTCGGTTGTGTTTCTCCCCTGTGTGTGGGCTTTCGCGACCCATGACTCGGCTCGGGATCTTTTGTGGCCGCGTTTCGCCGCCTTGGTAATTTTCAAAATCCGGGCCCCTTGGCGGTCGATCTGGTTGACCTTTGCCGTGGTTGGCGCGCTGCTCTGCGTTGCATTTCGCGCCGCCCCGCGGGAATTCGTCTGGCCCTGGGCGAGCGGGCCGGGCGCCAGTGGTAGGGGGCGCCGAGTCTCCGTGCCCTGGTCTGGCCGCTGTGTCGTTGCGTTGGTTGGTTCGTGTTTCTGAGTTGCATGTCGCGCCGCCCCGCGGGAATTTGCCTGGCCATAGGCGAGCGGGCCGGGCGCCAGTGGTAGACTAGAGGGCGCCGAGTTTCCGCGCCCTCGCTCGCCTGGCCGCTGCGTCTTTTCGCTGGGTGGTTCGTATGTAGTGAAGTCACCAAACGGCTCTGCGAAAAACGAACGGGGGCTGGTCATATACCGCGAAAAACGAACGCAGGCTTTCAATCGGCAGAAAGCGGCTTTGAACATAAAGAGTTTCCGTCTGTCGGTCGGCTCTGGCTGACCTGGCACCGAATCGCCGCCCGGCGGATTCCATCGGTCGCCGATCTAAAAAACGACGCAGAGGAGCCAGCAAAAGGGGCGCTATTCTGAGGCGCCTGGCGCACCTAATTCCGCCGATTTGGGGCGCCCAATAAGGGGCGCCGAAAAAGTGCGAAGATGGCAAAAGCTTCGGATCCGCGTGCTATGTGCACCATTTTTGGCCATTTTTCGAGGTCGCAAAGACGGCTAACAAGGTCGAGCACTTGTAATGTGGGGAGCAATCCAAGGCGCGCGACTTTTCAACAAAAAAAACAAACAAAAGCGGAAAGCTCGCCAAAATCTTCAAGCCAATTCGCATGCTATGGGCCCGATTTGGGGCGCCCAGGGGGCCGGGCTTGGTAGGGGCCCTTGCGTGGCTATAGCACGCGGGAAAGCGTTTCGATTCAGGGGGCGGCGGGGGCTTGGCTTTTCCACAAAAAAAACCAAAGGACGCAAACCCCGCCAAAAGCAGCAGGCCAGCCCGCATGCTATGGGCCCGATTTCGGGGGCCCAGAGGGCCGACCCTGGTGGAGGCCCTTGTGGGGCCATAGCGTGTGGGAAAGCGTTTCTCCTCTGAAAAGAGCAAAAAGACCCGGCGTCGTCCAGTCTGTTAGAAAAAACCCGCGCGACCTCACTACCCCCGCCTCGGCGGCTATATTTGGTAGCCCTGAGCTGCATGCCGCGCCGCCCCGCGGGAAAGAAGTTGCCTTGTCATGTCGTAGTCGGTCGAGCCGAAGACGAGGCGCAAAAGAATCGAAATGGTGGCGCCCAATTACGAAAGGCCGGAAAAGTCTCCAAAATAGTGCGGCCAGGGTTTCTCGCGTGATTTCGCGCCAGCTGCTTCGGTTTCGATCGGCCCCGGGCACGTCAGTGCCATGCCCGAAGTAAGGTCTGCGCCGGTTTAGCCAATGACGTCGAGAGACAAAGGAGAAAGGCTTGAGCGCTACAACCCGCGCACTCGCTTGCCGCCTTCTTCGCGCGCGGGCGATGGACTGCGCCCCATTTCGTCACGCTTGCGCCTTTATTAGGCCTAGCGGGCGCGTGTTGGCCAGCTGTTTCGCTACCGCTCCAACATGGGGCACCGGTGTAGTTTGGATCGCAATGCAAGCGCATTCCGCTGCTTTTTGCGCTGTTTGGGCGTTTTTTCTGCCCCTTCGTCGCTTGCTAATAGACTTGGCGAGACCCTTGCGCTTTTGGCTCGTTTGATTATCAGCCGCGCCGGCTTCCCTTGTTTTTCGCCGCTTAATGATGAAAGGCAGGACAAGTGCAGCAACATGGTGCGCCTGAAGATTTTTCGCGGGCGTGATTTCGCGCCAGAAGCTTTGGCTACGGTTCTGGATACGCCAGCACCAGGCCCGGCCTTATTTAAAAAGCCCGGCGAATATCCGCGGAACTTTTTTCGTCGTGTTCTCTATGATTTGCAGCGTTTTTTGTGGTTTTTGCCATCGTTTTGATGTTTTTGATCTGATTTTTGCACCATTTTGCGCGTTTTGAAGCAAAGAAGTCCGCTTTCGGGGTCATTTTGCACCGTTTCGCAAACTATTGACGCAATTTGCGCGCATTTTCATCCATTTGCACCAAAAAAAGGCAAACTTTGCGCGTTTTCGTGCTTTTTGTTTCGCTTTTGCGGCCATTTTGCTGCTTTTGTTATTGTACTAAGCCAAAACAGTGCCACTTTTGCCCGTTTGCTGTACTACTGGCTGCATTTGTTGCGTTTTTGCCTAATTTGATGCGTTTTCGGCGTCATTTTGCACGATTTCGCATGCTATTGACCTAATTTGCGCGCATTTTGTCCCATTTGATGTACAAAAACGCGAGCCCGAGCCGCGACAATTTGCGAAATCTCGGCGAATATTCGCGGACTTTTTCTCGTCGCATTTTCCCCAATTTGGAGCGTTTTTTGTGGCTTTTGCCATCGTTTTGTCCTTTTTGCATCGATTTTTGCACCATTTTGCGCGTTTTGGAACGACAAAAATTCAGCGACTTTCGGTGCATGTCGTGCATGTTTCGCAACATAGTTTATAACACTTGTCATGCTGGCCAGCCATGATGTTCTGCTTTCGTACCTGTTTTTCACATGCTAGCCGCGCATGACATGATTTCTCTGTCATACAGAACAAATTTGTGATGCTCTAACTCCATGACAACTACACTAGCACAGTTTTTTTCTTGGATAGTTGTGCGATCTTCCGGGAGTGCCCCACGCCGTTGCAGCACGACCAAAATGCCGCTGGTGGACAATACGACATTTTTCTGTACCAGAAGGAAGTCACGTATAACGGCAATTCGAACCCGACGCCGCCGCAACTCACCTACAGCCACTTCCAACCGACGGAAACGAAGAAACATTGCGACATATGCATTGCAAAAGTATCGTACTAAAACTGCAATACAAATTAGCTCCGCCTGACAAAGGGAATTTGCCATGCTGTTTTGGGTATAAAAAGAGATTTGTCCTGCATAAATATAACTGCCATAAATACTACGAGTGCGATACTTTTGCAGAGGATACGACCTCCAGTACCGCATCCCCCTCCAATCCGCGTGCCAAGCGGACGCTTGCCCAGCCGGGTTTGGGGTCCGTCAAAAATGTGAGTCCGAGTGCAACAAGAACGATATGACTTGCTCAAACGTTACAATCTCAAACGTTACAATAGAATCTGGCGGAAATCTGTAATGCAAGAGTGCATGATCTAGCTTTGCTTACTCCCACAGGATTGCGCATGACAAGTTCTCGAGTTCCAAACCGCACTAGAATCGCCCGAAATTTGTATTGCAGAAAGTGGAACGCTCTGCGAGTCTGTCATGCGCGTCATGCAATGCAAAATCTAGATTCATCTATTGTAACGTGTGAGATTGTAACTCCTGAGCGGGTTATAAACGACGGCTGTAAGTTCTTGGCGCACTACAGCGACAACGGCTGCGAGATTTTCACAAATTGTGATACGCTCGTGGAGAACACAGCACTGTCGGGGACGAGCGTGACTGTCGCGATTTGGCAGAAGAATGTGGTGTATCCGAATAACAATCCAAACCCGGGCAACAATAACAATTCCCCGGAAACGACACCGAGCGCGGAGGCTTTAACCTGCGAAGAAACGTCGACTTCCGACGCGAACATGAAGTACGTGCAGATTTGGCACGCGGATACCAATCGGCAGTTGACTTTCAGCAAAACGGAAGCGCGGTTGAAATTGCAGTCATCTCTAACCGATCCGGATGAGGGGTTGTTCTCTTTACACCCCGTGAACAGCAGGGCGAAAATATCAAAATGAAAAATCCCTCCACCCCATATCAAAACGAAGTTTGTCATGCTGGATTTGCGTACACAAATCAGATTTGTCTTGCTGGAGAGGACTGCAGGCCCATACGAAGTGTGAGTAGCGAGGCTTTGGCCTAGGCACTTAGCACGAAAAACATCCACGCTGTAGGCCCAACAGCATCACCAATCGCCTGCATAAAGCGGCGGAGTCTGTGGAGTTGCCTTCTTGCAAGACAGACATGGTTTGTGGTCGCAAATCAGCATTGCAATTTTTCTGCTACGTACCTTTTCGATATGGGGAGGGGGGATTCATTTTTCCTCACAATAGAAAACCTACGCGATTAAGACGAAAATCGAATCTCGCATGCTGGTCTCGCCCTCGGCCGCCGGGCCGCCGAAAATCGCGTTGGCAAACCCCCAGAATCCGCCCGACGCGGGGCAGCTTGGTACGTGGCCGAGCGATTGGTGGGAGATCAATTTTCACGGGCATCACGATGGGTCTGCGGGGTGCTTGAGCAAAGTGTTTGTGTGTATTCGACATGCACAATCGGAGCACTACCTCAAATTCAACCCGAACGACGGCGGGCCGAACTCGAATGATTACCCAGGGGGAAATAGCGAGGACCTCGGTGGGCCACCGTGCGACGGGAATGTGGAGAAGAAGTGGTACATTTTATTAAACACCGACACTGCTCGGAACGCGTGCGGAAACACGGAATTGCCCGGGAAAACCCATCCGCGGTGCAGCCCCGCGCTCCGGAATTTGTTGGCGGCACGAAGTTTTGTGAATAAAAATTCTCCGGAAAATAATAACAAGCGAGATCATGTTGATCCTCGGAGGTTCTTGCAGCCCGCGTCCTCCCAGCCCCACCCCTACTACTTGAAACACCTCCACGCGGGCGGCAAAAAGATCGAGTTCGCGCTCAAAATCGGAAGAATGCCGGGGGACACGAATCCGCAGATTGCGCTGCGGTTCAAGATATCAAATGTAAAAATGTCTGGGTCTGGAAGATCGCCAGGTTTGTCATGCATATTTTGCATGACCCATGATGTCTGTAGTGCATGCCCTAGCATCCCAGATTTTTAGAAGGCCTTCTGATGCTTATTCTGCATGAGAAATGCTCTCCCCGTGTAGCACAAACTGGACGCCTTTTGCCACTCATGCAATACAGATTTTTTTGGAATCCAAATGCAGCATCACAAGTTACATTCTTCCAGACCCAGACATTTTTACATTTGATATAAGAATACGGGGCAGAAAAACCAGTTTGTACAGGACGAGATTTATCCTGAGTAAAAACGTACCCACACCAGAGTTGTAATGCAAATCTGCATGCTGAGAATGTTTCTCATGCGGAGCCCCATGAGAAGCATTTTCTAGCCGTGTTTTGCAATTTGTCATGCTCCAATCAGCATGGTATGCTAGATCTGTGATGCTGCTGAGCTAGCTCAAACCGCACTACACTACGAATGCAAGTTTGTCATGCAAAACAGCCAAAACTTGTGGACTTGTCTAGCCGATTCCCCATCTTGACTATGGTGTGGGTACGTTTTTACTCAGGATACAGCACGTCAACTCAGACGAGTACCACGACGAGCACCAGTACTGTCACCACAACAACTACTACAACTACCCAGGAGCCGACTGCAACAACTCAGGCGGCGATGCCAACGACACAAGCGGCAGTGCCGACGACACAAGCGGCGGTACCGACGACTCAAGCGCCGATGCCGACGACTCAAGCGGCAGTGCCGACGACACAAGCGGCGGTACCGACGACTCAAGCGCCGATGCCGACGACTCAAGCGGCAGTGCCGACGACACAAGCGGCGGTACCGACGACTCAAGCGCCGATGCCGACGACTCAAGCGCCGATGCCGACGACTCAACCACCAACTACCACCCCAGAACCGACGACCACGTATCCTGTGTAAAAGTATCCCCACCCCAGAGTTGTCATGCAAATGTGCAATGACAGGAAGATTTCTAATGCGCACTTCCATGAGAGGCATTTCCAGTCGTGTTTTGGAATTTGTAATGCTGTAACCAGGACGAGAAAATGGCTTTGTCATGCGGCTTTCCTTGCCAGCCAGTACTACACTGCAGATGGAAACTTGTCTTGCAGAACCCCCAAAACTTGGGGATTTGTGTTGCAGACTTCCCATCTTGACTATGGTGTGGGGACGTTTTTACAAAGGATACCACGACGCCAGAACCAACAACCACGCCAGAACCGACGACCACCACAACGACCACGAGCCACTATATCAAGTGTGATATGGACATATCAAATGTAAAAATCCCTGGACGTCTGGAAGGATGGAACTTGTGATGCGTCCTGTGGATCACACAAAAATCTGTCTTGCGTGATCAACAAAAGACGCCCTTTTCTGACCACCATGAGAGGGAATTTCTCATGCAGGACAGGCATGATAGAGACCTCGCAGAATCTGTCATGCTAGGCCCTGCATTCCAGACCTTATGGGGCATGCAAATTCTGCATGACAAACTTGCATTCTTCCAGACCCAGACATATTTGCAATCCATAGGACAGCAACCCGGGCAGTCCATACTCAAGCGAGGACGGAAAAATCACCCCCGCAGTGAATGTGTTACACGTATGCATTGCAAATATCGATCTGGGTCTGGAAGAATGCAAGTTTGTCATGCTCTGCTAGCATGATTCTCACTTTTGTCATGCAGATCACCCAAAAGCGCCACTTTGGTGTCATGCAGAAGCCCAGTTTGTCACGCAGAATAGACAACGCCGCAGCATCTCCAAAACCTGTCATGCTTGGCAGCCAATTGAGGCGTGCTCCTCTTTGTCCAATCACCATCACAAGTTTCCAGACCCAGACACTTTTGCATTTGATAACACTTGAGAAGCGACAACCTCGTCCACAAGTGGAACGAGTTATGAAAGTGCACAACCCCCCCTCGTTCTCATTTCTCATGCAAATAAATCCACAATTCCAGTTGTTCCCTTGTATCACTATTATGCATGACAAATTTTGGGAGCCCAAACAGTACTACATTAGGTACGCAAATTTGTCATGTGGAACCTCCACGTGTGCTGGTGTTTGCATTGCTGTCCATGCTATACAAATGAGGGAGAGGGGGGGTTGTGCACTCTCATACGAGTCCGGGGGCGACGGACACACCTACGCGATGGAGTGGAAAAACTTGTACCATTTCCGCAATATTCTGAGTAAAAACATCCCCACCCCAGTGTTGTCATGCAAATCTGCATGCCAAAAAAGTTTCTCATGGTGCGAAGCCCCGTGAAGAGCTTTTTCTAGTCGTGTTTTGGGATTTGCGATGCTAGAAATAGCATGATATGCTAGATCTGTGATGCTGCTGAACTAGCTAAACAGGATCACACTACAACTAGGAAAAAACTTCTCATGCGAAACAACCAAAGTTGGCTGATTTGTCTAGCAGATTTCCCATCTTGACTCTGGTATGGGGTCGCTTTTACTCAGGACACGCAAGGAGATGTACTTTTATCCGGTGACAAACGATCCCTACAATCCGGAGTACGAGTGGCTCTGCGACGACGCGCGCATGTTGTACCGGTCCTCCAGTTATGGAATGCAAATATGTCAGGGTCTGAAAAATTGCAAGATTTGTCATGCATCTCGCGGACCACACTCATGGTCTGTAATGCAGACAGAAGCATCACAGATTTTTGAGACCTTCCTCATCCTCATGCCTCTTCCGCATGAGAAGTTCGAGTTTCGCCTAGCGAGAATTGGGTAACTGTTGGCGTTCATGCAACACAGATTTTCTCGTGATCCAGATTTCGCATGACAGGCTTCATTCTTCCAGACCCAGATCGATATAATTTGCAATGCATACCAGTAGTTCGGACACGTTGCGAACCACTTCGAAAAACCAGAATCCCGGCAGCGGGTCTTCCAGCAGACACTGGCAACTCGAGCCCAGTCCTCTGGGGGGGAACAAGATCTGCATCAAGCACGTTAGTAACCACTGGGAAATAAAGTTGCATCGCACCTACATGAACAGAATTGCAATCGATATAAGTATTTGCATGACAAAAATAAATTTTGTCTTCCTTTTCCAGCATGACAAACTCCCTTTTTTGTAGCTCTCTTGAGAGTGAAACTTGCAATGCAATTCATGAGTGCGATCTCCAACTTTTGCAATCCATAATCAACACTATCCCACAGAAAAAGACCGACAGGTCATATTTGTAATGCAAAAATAAATACACAGGAAAATCTGTCATGGGCGAGGCCATAACATCCTGTTTAGGGCATGCAATACAGATTTTTTTGTCTATTTATTTTGGCATTACAAATATGACCTGTCGGTCTTTTTCTGGGGGATAAACACGGGCGAGTACCTACGAGTGGACGACTGGGACCAAACCTTTATATCAAAAGGAAAAATCCCCCCTCCCCATATCAAAACGAAGTTTCTGATGCTGGATTTGCGTACCCAAATCAGATCTGTCTTGCTGGCGAGGACTGCAGGCTCCTGCCAAGCCTGAGTAGAGAGCTTTTGGCCTAGGCGCTTAGAATGAGAAACGTCTATGCTGTAGGCCCAACAGCATGACAAACCGCCTGCATAGTGCGGCAGAGCCTGCGGCGTTGTCTTCTTGCAAGACAGACTTGATTTGGGGTCTCAAATCAGCAAGACAAATTTTCGGAAACATACCTTTTCGATATGGGGAGGGGGGATTTTTCCTCTCAATACTTTACTTCCCACAACGAAAACAACGGATTCACCTTCACCACAACCTGCACGTCGACGGCCCGGGCCTGGGAGATCAGGAAGCACAGCACTTCTACTAACTGCAAAAATTAATGTCTGGGTCTGGAAGAGTCCTCGGGGCTTGTCATGCACAACATTCTGCATGGATGACCACCCGTGAGGTCTGTGATGCTGGTCCTGGTGCTAGCATCACAGATTTTTCGAGAACTTCTTGATGCTAATCGCGCATGAGAAATGCCCTCTCCGCGTGCCAAGAACTGGCTCCTCTTGCTGCTCATGCAACACAGATATTTATTCTAGAATCCGCAGACAGCATTATTCCAGGCCCAGACATACTTATTTGCAATCCATAAGTTCCGGCGGTCTCTCTTCCACGGTAGAATGTCGAAGAAAGACTGTGTATGGAAACAGGCGCTTGGACGAGGAGGCGAAGAAGCAGGAAGAGAAAAAGAATAACCCAGTCCTTGCCACGGGCACGGACGGGAGTGGCGCATTGGTCCTCCCTGAAGAACAAGAGGACAATGCTCCAGTCGAAGACGCTTTGCGTCTGGGCGTAGCCTTGAACCAAGGCGTGGATAAATTATCCGAGTTGGAAGACCACCGGCGCGGGCTGGTGGATAGCGGTGATCTGCCAGAGATTGTGGAAGAAGTTGTTCAACCGCAGAGCCATGTTGTTTCATCTTCCACTGCGACCGGTAATGTTGTGTCAACTTCCACTTCGACGTCCTTGCCAGCAAAAAGGACCAGATCGCTTACACAACAACAACAACAATCCTCCCAGCCGCCGTACTACCAGCAGGGCCAGAACAGCAATTTGAACCACGAGCCTACGGTGGAATTCCACGATACGGAGGACAACTCGATCCGATTGAGTATTACCGGACTGGAGCAGCACTACCAGAACCTCCCGAACCCGGTTTTGAAAAACTACGTGGAAGGGCTTTCGCATGATGTGTATCCGAAGTTGAATTTGCTCTTCGGTCATCTACAATCCAGAGCCGCGTATTTCCGGGTTTTTAAAGCGCCGATGACCTACAGCCACACGACAAACAACCAGCAGAGTCAAATCAAAACGATTCGGTATTTGGATGTGGATTGCAGCAATGTGCAGACGCTTTGCGGGTCTGTGGATTCTCCCGCGAGGGGTCAGCCGCCGTGTACCGATCCGTCGGTGAGCAGCAGTACTGAAACTAATTCTACTATCCTGTGTAAAAGCGTCCCCACCCCAGAGTCAAGATGAAACTTCTCTGTGCTTTAATTTTGGTCTTTTCCAGTACATAAAACACCCCAGACTCAAGATGGGGAATCTGCTAGACAAATCAGCCAGGTTTGGCTGTTGCGCGTCATAAGTTTGGCCTCGTAGTGTAATCCTGTTTGACTTGGTCAGAAGCGTCACAGATCCAGCATATCATTCTGATTGGAGCATTACAAATTGCAAAACACGGCTACAAAATACTTCTCATGGGGCTCCGCATGAGAAACATTTCCAGCATGCAAATTTGAATGACAACTATGGGGTGGGGACGTTTTTACACAGGATATCTACCACGATGGATCCGGGTAGCGGAAGTGGTACAACCAGCACAACTTTATGCACTGCAAAAGTATCGTACTGGTAGTAACTGCATTACAAATTTCAGCGGCATGAGAAATGGAATTTGTAATGCGATATTACGATTACCTCAATAAAAAGATTTGTAATCCATTACTCCGAGTGCGATACTTTTGTCATGCATAATCCTATGATCCCAGCAACCCTAGTAACAGTTATTGCAGGGAAAAATCCCCCCTTCCCATATTGAAAACACGTCCTTCCGAAAATTTGTGATGCAAATTTGTGACCACAAATCCTGTCTGTCTTGCCAGAAGGCAAATCCAGAGACTCCGCCTCCATATGCAAGCGGTGTGTAATGCTGCAAGGCCTACAGGGCAGATGTCTGCCATGCTAGGCCCCTACACCAAAAGGCCCCTGCTTAGGCTTGCGATCTGCGTGCAGTGCTTTCCTGCAAGACAAGTGTGATTTGTGTACACAAATCCCGCATCACAGATTTCCGCTTTGATATGGGGAGGGGGGATTTTTCATTTTTATAACAGTCCGCCAGACACGACTAGCACGACTACCAGCACGACTTCGGATCCAAATCCTATCAAATGCAAATATATCTGGGTCTGGAAGAATGCAACTTGTCATGCTGCATTTGGGCGGTTCACAAAAATTTGTATTGTATGAGCAGCAAAGGGACGAGTGTTATTTTTGCTACGCGGCGAGGGGCCCATTTGTCGTGCGGAATAGGCATCAAAAACCCCGAACCCCGCAGAAAATCTGTGATGCTACGGCATGCGTCACAGATCGATCATGGCTCATGCGATGAAACGTGCATGACAAGTCTCAGAAAAATCTGGGCACCAGACCCTCCAGACTACATATTTGCAGTTAATACCACCAAGAAGTAGGAGACAACTCTCTTCCTCGTTCGGCTTCGGCTCCGATTCCGGTAGCGGCTTTCTGCACCCGAATCACTACTGTTTACACGTGTCGGCGAAGCAGCAAGCCGGGTTTTTGGATACGGATAGCGGCACGAAAGCCTGTGTAAGGGATTTCTGCATGCGACAATCCTTCTGCGGTGGTTACGAAATCGTCGGCAGCGGTCCATCGAAGCAGTACAGACTACTTTTAATCGGCAGTTTTGAAAGGAACGACAACCAGGGGAATAACATCGGCGCGCAACCCTGCGGATCGGAGCTGGGGTTGAGTCCCTGTCCGACTGATAGAAGGTGCTTCCAACTAGTCCGGCCGAAAACTTTGAACCCGATGATCTTCGACCAATCGGGGGTGCATTCTGCGGTATGCATTGCAAATATGTCTGCGTCTGGAAGGTTGCAACTTGTGATGCTATCTCTGGATTCTAAAAAAATCTGTATTGCATGACCAGCAAAAGGAATCCAGTCTGTGCTATGCGGAGAGGCCATATCTCGTGCGGATTAGGCATCAGGAAGCCGTCTGAAAATCTGTGATGCTACGTCATGCATTACTGGCAGTGTGGGTCATGGAAAATCTGCATGACAAGTCTTGCAACCCTCCAGACCCAGACATATTTGCATTTGATATGCGGAAGAACCGGACAACACGAAGATGCTCGATGTGCTGGATGTGGGGTACAATAAAGACTATCGCAGGAAAAACCTGTTTCACTGTACACTTGTAATGCACAAAATGCATCTCAGAAGTGTTTGTCTTGCTACAAATGCGAGACAGTCGATTTTTAGCTGTGCTTTCCCTTAGGGACCTCGCATGGCAAGTTTTCTCTGTCATGCAAAACAAACTTGTCATGCAACACTTGCAAAATCCGTACAGTGAGACACTTCTTTCGTACGATAAAGATCCGATGGGCAATAGCTTCGACCTACACGAAGTGTTGCGGAACATGCTTTACAAAGACAAGGGGTTAGCCGAAACGCTGAAATACTATTCGCTTGACGACATCGTGCAGAACGTGATGACAAGCCAGCAGGAGGGCATGGACATAATCAGCACGGTGAACAATGAAAGGGTGTTGGTTATGGGAGTGTCAGAACCGAAATCGACAAAGTCGAAATGATTTGTAATGCATAAAATGGATACAAGTTGGAGCCCAGTTTTCAAGCGGTGCATGACAAATTTTTGCAGCATCGAAAGCCAATTTGTCATGCTGTTTAGGCACAGAGGACCTCCGCTTTTGTCATGCTACTTCAGCAGCTCTATCTCAAACCGCAAACAGGCTTACAGTTGGCCTCTCTTGCCATCCCCGCAAGACCGGCACTTCGTGCCTTGTTGCGTTGTATGCATGACAATTTTTTCAACTTTGTCGATTTCGATCCTGACGCTTCCATATTGGTCCAACGGTTAAAAACCGCATTAGACACCTACATCGCCGCCAACCCACCAGTTTCCCCTGACGCTTGGTCCGACTCTGTGACGAACGTTTTCAAAGTCAAATCACCCGGGGAGGTGTTCCTCGAGCATTACCCAGAGTACTACATTCACGACAATAGCAAAAACTGGGACTTCGCTGCGGACGGGAATGAGGTGGTGTCTGACTTCATCTTCAACTACTTTTCTCTCCGTTATCGGCCGTTCTACGAGTTACCAACCTGCCCACCATTGGCGAAACGCGGCTACGCAATCACACCCGCTTTGACCGCGACGAGTTCTTCGAGGATTGTCTCGGATTACTCGAATTTAGCTTTGTTTTCTGGCGAAAACGCGGAATCGTATTCGCCGAATCACCGCGGTGCGGATAATCTCGCGAGCATGATTCCGGGAAGGGTGCGGGCGACGCTGACAAATCCGAGATATGATGTTGGGTTCAACCAGTGTTTGTTGAAGTCCTACGGCGGACATTTCGGTGTTCTCGCGGGGACTTTCTGCGATGTGATGTGCATCGCAAATTACCAGCCCATGGATGTTTCGGACTATGGTTCTGGGCTGTTGACAGAGGCCGGTACGTCGAGCCCAGATGGAGGTGAAGGTGAATCCGAATCTACCAGCGTCGTGCGGCAAAGAGAACTGCAGATAGAGCAGTCAACTCTCCTGATGCTGCAGCGGCAAAACGGGTTCATGTGCCCCTTACCCAGGTCCGTACCGAACAACAACCTCGGAAGCGGTTACAACAGGCCGATGCAGTCCCCGCAGGACAAGCAAATCGCTTTCACGGGCTACGGGTGCGAGCCGTTTGCGTGTCTATCCCTCGATGAAGACTCGTTGTCCTCAACCTACAACGTGCACATCGAATCCCGGTGGTCGTTTCCACATCCAAGCATGCGGAACGCGTTTGGGAGTAGGTCCGGTGGTGCAATCACGTCGACTGCTGAAAGACAAAACTTTTTACCACTACTAGGCCCGCCACATTTAACCGTTTTAGCAAAGGATAACGCAGCCACAATCACAGCGCAAGCAGCGGCGGAGAATCTATTCGTCCAGCCGGAGCACTTACAAAATCAATATTACCACTACCCCCAACTGTACGACAACTACGACCATCCGTCTTTGAGTGATACTGTGTCGATATGAAAGTGCACAACTCCCCCTCCCCCTCATTTGTCATGCAAAGTGCCTAATTTGCGCCTTGGCTCTTGGCACTGTTTGCATGACAAGTTTTGGCATTCCAAATAGCACCACACGCCTGTCCAAATTTGTCATGCGAAACCTGTGTTCTTGCTGACGCTTGTATTGCTGTTCATGCAATTATACAGATGAGAGGGAGGGGGAGTTGTGCACTTTCATACTCAACCTGGGAAGAGCATCCTGTTTCCGATGACCCGAGGATCATCGGGTTAGCGGCGACGACAGAAGCGGTCACCTTCGCCTGCGAAGTCCCGAACACCTCGCCCGCGAATGTTTTCCACGAAGCGAGATGCGTCGACGGCGAGTGGTACCCGGAGTGGGTGCAATCGTTCGCGACTGGCTGGGTGGGTTCTTCGGGGAGTAGTGGGAGTAGTGGAATTTCTTTCAGAAGTAGAAGGGAAAGGCAGTTAGAGCAGAAGAAGGAGCGGGAGGAAAGAAGGAAACTGTCACCGACTAAGCAGGAACGGGTGAACAATAAGAGCAGCAAAGGTGGAGAAATTGCTGCTGCGGGAGAGCAGCAGGAACACGAGAGTGACAGCGCTAATACGCAGCAACAACTCAACAACATTCCGAAGCCGAGCGCGTTTTCCTCATCAGCATCCTCCTCTGGCTCCGAAAGCAGGAGTACCAAACCAAAACCAAAATCGTTGTTACGGCATCTGCAGCAACACAAATCTTCCAACACCCGAAAGCTCTCCACAGAGAGCTCAGATCCAACAGCCCCTCTTCCCCAGTGCGTCGCCGCCGCTGGCTGTCCGACCAAGCCAATCACGGACTTGGCGTTACGGCCACTACAGTATTCCGACCGCGCCACCGCGCTAACCGCGACGACCGTTCCCACTGGTACGATGGTTTCCCTCGCCTGTCCGTTAGTGGCGTCTGGCCAGGTGGATGAAGCCGGAAATGACATTTACCGTGATTATATGGATTGCAAAAAGGTCTGGGTCTGGAATAGCGGAACTTGTAGTGCTGTCTGCGGATTCTAAAAATAACTGTGTTGCATGAGCAGCAAGAGGGGTCAGTTCTTGGCACGCGGAGAGGGCATTTCTCATGCGTAAGTAGCATCAAGAAGCTCTCAAAAAATATGTGATGCTAGCACCAGCATCACAGACCTCACGGGTCATGCAAAATGTGCATGACAAGCCCCGACTGTCCCAGACCCAGCCATTTTTGCACTTGATAGATTACGAGATGACGTCAGACCCGGCTGAAATTGCGAAGGTGATGGAGTTATCAAATGTAAAAATGTTTGGGTCTGGAAGAATGCAACTTGTGATGCTGCGTTTCGATGTCTAAAAAATTTGTGTTGCATGAGCAGCAAAAGGAATCTAATTTTTGCTACGCGGAGAGGGCATTTGTCATGCGGAATGGGCATCAAGAATCCCTCAAAAAACCTGTGATGCTAGGGCATGCATTGCAGGTATCATGGGTCATGAGAAATATGCATGACAAATCTTGCATTCTTCCAGACCCAGACACTTTTGCACTTGATAGGAGTTAGTCGGTAGCGCAACGCAGAACAACTACGGAGTGAGGACCGCGACTACTACAACAACCATGGATCCGGAAATTCTAGCAGCCGATAGCACGATCACAACCACGACAACCCTCTGGGATTACCCAGGCTGGAAACTCTCCCAAGTAACTAGGATTTGCTACGATGGGGTCTGGATGAGTCCTTTGATGGTCGATAGGCTATTATCCTCTCCCGCGGCTCGGTTCCAGAAGGCGTTTGCAACCGCGACGGCAACGACAACCACGACGGCCGGAACAGTGGTTAGGAGGCAACTCCAGACTGAGGGTGAAGGAACAACAACTTCTACTGAGGGCGAGGGAGATAGTACTGAAACAACTACTGTTGATGACACCGTCACAACGCCCCCTGTTGATACAGCAGCAGTCGCAGAAACCACCACGACCACAACAACGTTGCCGTTCCTTTCTATCCGAGAAAGGAACCAGTTTCCCGCGTGTAAAAAGATTGCGGAAGAGGGAGAAGTGATTCGGACCAGCACGGTTTCCGTCGTCGCTCTTTCCGTCGGCATGGCTTTGGACAGCTCGACACTAGCCGCGTTAGCTGCAAGGGGGACTGAAGAGAATCCGGATGTACCCGCGATTGTGATCGGTATCAAATGCAAATATGTCTGGGTCTGGAAGATTCTAAACTTGTGATGCTGTCTCTGGATTCAAAAAAAATTTGTATTGCATGACCAGAAAGAGGACTCCAGTTCGTGCTACGCGGAGAGGGCATTTCTCATGCGGAATAGGCAATAGTAAGCCCTCTAAAAATCTGTGATGCTAGGGCATGCATTACAGACATTATGGGTCATGCAAAATATGCATGACAAACCTGGCAATCTTCCAGACCCAGACACTTTTGCACTTGATAATCGGCACACCCGAGCAACTGCTCGGCATGGACAGATTGACCACGACGAGGTATCAAGAGGAAAAATCCCCCCTCCCCATATCAAAAGGAAGTTTCTGATGCTGGATTTGCGTACACAAATCAGATCTGTCTTGCAGTAGAGAGCTGCATGCCCATGCCAAGCTGAGGTAGAACGGTTTTGACGTAGGTGCGTAGCATGGCAAATGTGCACTCTGTAGTCCCCATAGCATCACAAACCGCCTGCATAATGCAGCGGAGTCGCTGGATTGGCCTTCTTGCAATACAGAGACGATTTGCGTCCACAAATCAGCATCGCAAATTTTCAAAAGTGCCCCTTTTTGGTATGGGGAGGGGGGATTTTTCCTTTTGATACGAGGACGCACACGGAGGGTGAATTAACCGTCTGCTTCTACAGCTTAGAAAACGCAGATACTGTACAGGGGGATTTAATCGAGGGCGCTACTGGCTCCCGGGAAGTCACCGCGGAGTCCTACGTGTACATCGGGACTATTGATTTAGGAGACGATAAGGGAGTTATCAAAAGGAAAAATCCCCCCTCCCCATATCAAAGCGGAAATCTGTGATGCAGATTTGTGGCCACAAATCAGCTCTGTCATGCTAGAAGGGAAAAGATGTGGACTGTAGTGCTGCGTGGCGTGGGAAAGCCTTGCATCTTCAGCATGACAGGAGGCAGCTGGAGGTGGAGAGCAGCATGTTGACAAATTGCCTGCAAACGAGGCCAGGACTGCGGCTCGTGGCCTTCTAGCATTACAAGTCGATTTGTGTACTCAAATACAGCATCGCAAATTTCGTTTTCGATATGGGGTGGGGGAATTTTTCCTTTTGATAGGAGTCGTCTGTGCGTTAAACTACGCAGGGGGAACTGGATTAACCGCAAGGAGAAGATTGACAATGCACGAAGACGATGCGGAGAAGCAGCAGAAATTTGAGGAGAATTACAAACTTATGGCACCCGCGATCACAGGCAGGAAGGAAGACAGGGACAGAGCGGAAAAAGCACGGAAAAATCTGGCTGCAAGGACTCGAAAGACTAACTCTGTTGTTCTCAAAGAAAAAATAGACGAATACGAAGCAGCTGGTGCACTGGTAGCAGCAGGTGACAGCAGCACAAGTGCTTACCCAGAAGCGGCGCAAGAAGTAGCAGAAAAGCGTCAACTTTCCACCTCCGTCACAACTGGTTACAACTACGAATACCGAGCGAGCGGCACGAATGCCGCTTCTGTCGTCGCACAGGTAGAAGCCGCGGCGAGCGGCCCCGCCCTGGCTGCACGATTGACCAGCGCGGTGAGCACCAGCTTGGGCTGCACTGCGGCCACCATCGCGAGCTGTATCACCGGATTTGCGCAGATGATCTCGTTCGCGATTCGCGAGAACGTCGTTGTGGAAGTGAATGAATGGAGATTCAAACCTTGGAAAGCCTGCAGCAACCAGTGCGGAGAGGGGACGAAAGAGCGGGAATTTTACTGTGACCAGAGCGTCGAAAGCGGGAATACAGAGCCCTGTCCGTTCAACGAAATTTGGAGGTTGAAACTAGAAGACGACTGTGTCGAGTGGGGTGGGTGTGTTGCGACCATATTGTGTCCAATGACGGCGGAATACGGCTGCGCGTGGCAGACACTGATGATGCTCGCGATATTCGGTATTTTTTTTTACTTTTTACGATTGCTTTTAATTGCATAGTACCACTTTAATTGCAGGGCAAGCTCTTTTCACTTGAAACTTGCTTTGTTATCATGCTGAATTTATTCCGATTCACAGTTTCGATTTGTGATGCTAAAATAAAACCAAAAACCACCGCAAAATAAATCAGGTGCCATCTCCACCGCGTTCACCACCTACATGTATTGCGGTTGCAAGACCCCGAAGGGCGGCAACATCAAGGGCCTCGCGAAAGACGGTAAGAGCAAGATGCGCTGGAGCAAAGGCCGGGATCAGGATATCAACTGTAAAAATGTCTGGGTGTGGAAACTTGTGATGCAAGTCAGGGAAAAATGCGCATACTGTAATGCACTGCCAAGCATGACAAGGCTTTCCGTGGTTCAGTGTTGCGTACTCCGCATGAGAAACTGCGTTTTTGCATGACAGGCAAGAGAAGCCCTTTGCGGCCATGCAATACAGAGCTCAGAGTCATGCCGGACTAGCATGACAAATCCCGGAATCTTCCAGACCCAGACATTTTTGCATTTGATACAGGAAACGGGGAAGCAAAAGATCATCTGGCACGGAGAGGATGTACAGCAGTTTATGATTGCGGAAGGGTTTGTGTTCGATAAAGACGAAAAACTGAAAGAGGAGGACGGCGCGGATATCAAAGTGAAAAAAACCGCCACCCCATAGCCAAAAGACAATTTGTGTTGCTGGATTTGTGCACACAAATGCTCTGTGTATTGCAGCAAGAGCTTGTCGGCATATTCTAAGCCCATTTGGTTATCCGGCTAGCAGCTGCGCATGAGAAACAAGTCTGACATAGGCAAAAACGCATGACAGACTGGCTGCACAATGCGCCACATGGGTGCCGTTATTTGCCTTGTACGCAAGACAGAGCTGATTTGTGCTCACAAATCAGCATCACAGATATGGGGACGCGGAGGGATTTTTCCTCACAATAGGGGAGGAGGTCGTCGGCGCACCGGTGCAGGCGGAGGGGGAAGCGAAGCCGCCGGAGAGGTTCTTCTCCATGGAGTCCATGGATGCCGACATTCCGGATGAGGGCGCGATTCTGGACACGTCAAGGTTGAAGCAAGCGATATGAAAGTGCACAACTCCCCCTCTCCCTCATTTCTATTGCGCGAACAGCAATACAAGTGCAGCAAGAATACATGTTTTGCATGGCAAATTTGGACAGGAGTGCAGTGCTATTTGGGCCGCCAGAACTTGTCATGCGTAATAGTGACAGGAGCGAAAGCGTAAATTACGCATTTTGCATGAGAAATGAGAACGAGGGGGGGTTGTGCATTGTCATAAGTGACGATGGATATCGACGCAGAGATGAAATCGATTGAGGAAATCGTGGTGAAATACCCCGAACCACCGGCGTGTCTGAAGATCGGAGAAAATCTGGAGTACTATTCGACAACCTACAGTTTGTTCCTCCCCGCGAAAATCACCGCACACGACAGCAAAACGGGGACTTGCTCGGTGGTGTTATCAGCCAGGTTGAGTGCAGCGAGGCAGACGAGGAGCAATGTATAGAATTTGTTTTTTTTTTGCATTTTTACACTTTTGGGCTTTTCTTGCATGAGACAAAAACATTCTTTCACATTCCAATTTCCGAAGCTGCATCACAAAAAATCCGGATTGCCAATTGTACCTAGGTTCCCTTCGCCATGCTTCGTATTGCCCTTCGAGAAAACGAGCGCTGCGAAATTTTCGTGGGCGACCAGGTTGTATGGATTGCAAAAGTGTCTGGGTCTGGAAGAATGCCAGACTTGTCATGCAGGTTTTTCATGACCCATGAGGTCTGGTATGTAGGACATAGCATGACAGATTCTGGGAGAGTTCTATCATGCCTATCCAGCATGAGAAACTGCCTTTCGATTAGGTCAAAAGTGGGCAGCTTTTGGTAATCATGCAACACAGATTGCTACAGGATTCAGATTTAGCATGACAACTTGCTTTGTTCCAGACCCAGACACTTTTGCATTTGATAGGTTGGCTGGCTAGGTCCGGTCTTCGTGAAGGAAAGGGTAAACGCGAAGGGTAGATATGCAAGAACAAAACGAATGTGAGTGTAAGTCTGTGATGCAGAAAATGCAAAACTGTTTACACTTGTCATGTTGGATCTGCACCGTCAGAGGCTCTGTACTTTTCGCACGTGTTCATCTCACGTACTAGCTACGCATGACAGGTTTTCTGTGTCATGCAGAGCAAACTTGTGATGCTAGTATTCCTCCAAGAAAGTTACATTTACACAGTTTTTTCCTTGGATAGCAGAGGTGCGGAGTACATTGTCACCGTGTCGGAGGAGGTTTTACATCCCGATGTGAAAGTCCCGAAACAAAAAACCATGCGGGTGGAACTGACGAAAGTCAGAAGGCTCTTCGAAGTCGATGACGAGGTTGTAGTGCATCACGAAAAGCAGTGGCTGAAGGGGAAAGTGGTGAAATCCCACGACCAAACCGTCGCAATCAACGCGAACAACGCTTTACTCCACCTCCAAGAACGAGTAGCGCTGCGGAAGAATGTATCCACTGCAAATCATTTGCCGCACACGTACAATTGCATTCTTGCATGACAAACTTCTGCTCCTATTGCATCCGGCATGACAAATGGACGAGAGTAGGTTGGGAAAATTTGTAATGCATCTTGTGCAACGTTCGGTAAATTTGTGTTGCATAAAACGCGAAGAAAATCCTCTCCCCGAAGTCCGCCAGGAAATCCGGCAGGAGTTCTGGGCAGAAGCTGCAAAGGGAGTCGACATTTCTCTCCGATTATCCATTGCAAATATCGATCTGGGTCTGGGAATTTTCCCCAGATTTGCCTCGCTTGTCTGGCATGACTCTCAGCTCTGTCATGCATACTTTCATCAAAGAGCTCCTCTTGCCTGTCATGCAAAAGCGCAGTTTCTCATGCTGAATTCGCAATAGGACGCCCTAGAAGCTCAGAACTTTCTCCTGCTTGGCTGTGCATTTTGCAGTACGCTTTTGCTATTCGCACATTGGCATGAGAAATCTCCAGACCACCAGACATATTTGCAATGCATAGCGAGTCCTTCTTCGGCGGTGGTGCATCATCTCCGGAGAAAGATTATGACAAGGATCGGGATAGTGACGACGATGGGATGAACGATGACAACCCGCTCGCAATAGTACCGGTCGACACAGCCAGGACCATGAGCCGGGATAGCGAAAATTCCGACAACCACAGTGGAACCGGGGATGACAACAATGATGGAATCAGCTCTGGCGCCAGGACACCGAGGAAGAAGTTCTCAAGACAGGAGTCCGTTGCTTTCAACAAAGAGGAGTACTCGCAATTATCCGCCAGGAGATCTCTCCCACCGAGGACACCAAGAAAAAGTGATAACGAATTGTCCGAAGCGGCGAAAGATGTGGAAAAGCAGCAGGTCTCCCAGTCCGCACAGAAGTGGCAAGAGGCGAAGAAGAAGGTTTTGCTGCGGAAAATGTCGCTAGAGGAAATGGTGGAAGAGGTGAAACAGCGGGAAGAGAAATTCCCCGTCTTCGGCGTCCCCCTACGGATTCAACTCTCCGGCGAAACTATCGATGAAGAAGCTATGCATTGCAAATATGTCTGGGTCCGGATGATTTGTATTGCCATATTTGAAGGACAGCAAGGATTTGTCATGCATAAAATGCCAGTGGCCACGTCTTCTGTCATGCTGGATGGCACTTTGTAATGCTGATCACGAATGAATCCGCTAAGACATGAGGAAAACTTCTCATGCTGATATGCCGTAGAAGCGGCCATGCTGCAATGCGGGTATCAGCAACACAAATTTTCTGACCCAGACATATTTGCATTTGATAGAAGCTGCGGATGTCGAGTTAGCGAAGAAATTTGAGGGGGAAATCATCGACGTGATACCGAGTCAGCAGATGTTATCCTGTGTAAAAATGTCCCCACCCCAAACTTGTCATGCAAATCTGCAAGCCTCAAATCGATTTCTCATGCGTAGCCCCATGAAGATCATTTTCTAATGTTGTCTGGCAGTTTGTCATGCGGAAATTAGGATACGATACTCGCTCTGTAAAAATGCGGCTACACAGGCTAAACGGCTCTAGTACTACTACACTAGAAGCCCAAGCTTGTTTCTACGAGCCCAAGCTTGTCATGCGCAACACGAAGAAATCGTTCGTTTGTGTAGCAAAATGCCCATCTTGGCTCTGGGGTGGGGGCGTTTTTCCTCTTGATAGATGTGTGTCCCGCTGAGTGTCGGCGTTGAATCCAGTCACGAGGTGAGGAACCGGAAGAAGCCGTCTTTCTTAGCGATAATGGCCGCGGCGGGGATGCTTGCGAAACAAAACGCTTCCGCGGAGGCGGAGGGGGAAGCGGGAGAGCCGAATGAGGTAGAAACAGGGAATGACGACGCAACTGCGGGAAAACGGTTAGACCGGTTCCAATCTGCAACGTCCGTCGCCGCGGATTTGGGGGATGAAGGCATAGCAAACGGTGCGCTACACCTCCACTCCAGTGACCACGATCCAGAGAACAAAAGCCCGATCTTATCCGCAGTAAAAACGTACCCACCTCCCCAGAGCTGTAATGCAAAGCTGCATAACTAAAAATATTTCTCATGCGCAGAACCATAAGGGCCACTTTCTAATGCTGTCTGGGAATTTGTCATGCTGGAATCAGGATGAGGTAATCGATTCGTGATGCGTCTCCACTACCTCAAACAGAACTACGCCATGAACCCAAAAAGCTTGTCATGCGCAACAGCCAAAACTTATTGATTTGTGCTGGGAGATCCCCATTTGTAGTCTGGGACGAGGACGTTTTTCAAATGGATAGATCTCCCCCCAGGATCTGCAACTCGCAGTGTTAGACTCCCCCAACGGTGGAGAAACGCCCGCCGGGGGTTTTCAGAGTCCGGATGGCGGGGAGGGGGTCGCGCCGGGGAAGAGCGTGGTGGAAGATATGGTGTAAAAGCGTGTCTTCCGCTTCTGAAACTGCAAAAAATTATCTGCAGGTACAACTTGGAGCAACGAAAAGTTTTGTAAATAGACCTCAAATAGCAACGACAACTGAAATCATTTTTTCAATCGTACAAAAGCACAGCTTTTCCTTTTTTTCTCAAATAGCAACGGGAAGTTTATTCCGACTTGAATTTCATCTAATTAGCAAAAGTTTCAACAAATATTGACAAGAGTAGCAACAGATCACCATAACTTGTTCAGCTTAAAACCAATACTATTCGAAGCAACTCAAACACATTTGATGTAAAATGACAAGGTGAAACATTTGTACGATCATGTTTAGAACAAAATGCCAGTATTCTTATACGGAAATACCACCGATCATTCCAAGAATACGCTTGAGCGCAAGACGAGTAATCCTATGCATAAAAGTTTCAAACTCAACCGATACAACCCCAATACGATAAAAACGGAGGCTGTTGCCATCCAGATTATTAACACCTATTAACATTTTCCAAATAAGCGAAACACAACTGTGGCATCACCAACTTTTACCAAATCGCAGTGCGCAATCTAGTGCGTGTTGCTGGTAGAAATTGTGTGCTGCTGCTGGTATACAGTCAAGTAGAAATGATGAATAAAACTAATTCACACCGACGAGAAAAACTTTATGTACGATTATGAAGAAAAGTTGAGGTCAAAAATCAAAATGCAAATGTACCCCCGCAAATGAAAATAATGATGTACTAGTTTTTACCCGCATTGCCAGACACGTCTCTCATGCAGCATACGCTGTATTGTTGATCCAGAATATTGAAAGCACAAAATCTTTTTCACATCCACATAAGAATCACACATAAAAACTTCGAAGCTCCTCCGGGTGGTCGTTCGAACGCCCCGCTGCGAAGGTTCCAAGCCGACAAAGCTCCGCAAATGCAAGATCATGTGAACGTTGTTCCAGGTCGATGAAATTTCATTTGGCGTGAGAACCATGTTGCGTCAGCCGGGATAAAAATTTTGATGGATATCTGTTTTCACCAAAATGAACAGGCTTATTTCCATAGTGTCTTTTCGCTTTCGACTAAAGCAGTTCAACTTCATATTCAATCGCGCGACAGAATTAAAGAACACGAGTAAGTAGCATAAAACAGCAGTAACGCTAGCTTTATTTTTTGATGAGTCAATCTCAGTTTCAATCTGTTTAACTTTAATTTCTTTCTCACCGCAGATAATCCTTCGGTTTGTTGCAGCACCAGAAAAATACAACATGATGCAGAAAGCCCTACACAAGGTTCGCTTTTCGCTCCCGGTGAGCATAATTTTCGCTTCGGCGTTCATTTCATCCACCTTGGTGGTGCAGGGTGCGGACAACAATTTTCGTGCCTCCAGTCCAACCCCTTCGGTGGTTTTGCGAAGAGACTATGGTGCCACGACCAAAGGGCCGGCGAAGTTTGGGTTTGCAGGGTTGCAGGCGAAGCAGGAAGCCGCAAGGGCGAAAGCGAAAACCGCTGGTAGAACAAGTTTTCCTCCTGTTGAAGACCAAAACACTACAAGCAAGGGGGCTGACAAATCCCAACAGCCGCGGCCGGTTCCGAGGATCCCACTACCGGGCGGTCGCGACCCAGAGCCAGACTCGAAAAACGCATGGCTGAACGAACTTTTAGAGCTAGAAGAACGTGGGCCGGAACCGCAAGCGCGGCCACCGGTGCAGGACCCGAGCGAGATGATGACTGTTGGGGAACAAGATGCAGCTTCCGCCGATGAGGAAAAGCTGGACGCAGATGATTCGCCCACCGAGATTCCTGTTCCCGTTGCCGATGAAAAGAAATTCGCTTCGCCCACCGAGGAACCCATCCCTCCGCCGCCGCATTTTGTGGGCCGCGCTAGCAGCAACGGTCGTGCGGGAGCTGCACTGCCACGCGTGGAAGACACTGGTGTTCCTGAAGCGCAGATGAACACAATTCTTGAGAACCCGCGCCCCATTTCCGTGAGACAGGGAGCCGCGGGAACTACATCAAAGCGGACGACGAGAGCGAGATCTGCTTCTTCGTCCTCCAATTCTTCCAGCAGCAGCAGCTCTTCCAGCTCGAATGCATCTTCCAAAAAAACACGGATCGCCAATCAGCAGTCGCGCAAGACGGTAATAAAACTATGGCACGATGGTACGGCGCGGCACCAAGGAGGGCTGCGCGCATCGAAAAAGGGCGACAGAGAGGACGCCGTGGCCGCTCCCCTGACGAGCAAAAATCCTCCGCCACAGTATGTACCACCTACTCAGGTTGCAACGCCGCTATCACAGAAAGGCGGACGGGAAAAGAACAAGAAGAAAATCATGGTGCAAGAGACCACCAAAAAGCGGTCGTCGGCTGCTTCTATGCAGCCGCCGGCGCCGAAGGTGCAACGCCGAGAGAGCCCGTCGCCGTGTCCCAGTGTCGCCACCAGCGCGCCCGCTGACGTGGAAGTAGGGGAATTTGGGGTAGAGACGGTAACAGGACACTTTCGACCTCCCACTTCTGTCGTTGTACCGCAAACACGACGTCAAGCTGCTGCGTCTTCTGCGCGTACTAGTACAGCTAAACGCCGCCCCAGGACGAGTTCACAAGACGATACCCCGGCTGCTGTCGTCAGCCGCTGGTATAATGTCGAACTACATCCGGAGGAAATAAACAAAGAAGTTCTTGCTGTTCCGAGGGAAAATAAACCGCCACGCCAAAAAACTCTTGCGCCAGTGACTGTCTGCGACGAGGAAAGGAGACCAACGCAGCAGCCGGCGTCGCGCCTTCATGCACCGCCTGCTCCAGTTTCGATTGCTTCGTCCAACATCTCGTCCGAAACAGCTGCGACAAGCGGTAGAGCAGCTCCTGAGAGGTGGACTACAGCAGATCCTTCTGCGCCGCAAGAACAGCCTGCTTTTCCTGCAGAAGACGATGCGCAGTCAGTCGTTGCGGTAAACGATCCGTATCAGGGCGTATCGGCCATGTACGGGTCCTACGAGCAGGATGATGAACAAGAAGCAGCTCCTGCTGATAAATCCGACGTCGGAGATGAAGCCCACACCGGAGCTGCTCCAGCTGCGGTCGAAGATCCTTATTCTATCTTTCCTGCTGGATCCACGACGTCCTCCACCGCGCGAGCTCCTTCGAGGTCGCCTTCTGTTGCGTCCACGAAGCGGGCCGTTGCCACTTCTGACCCTTACTTGGAGGGTAATGTTACTTCCTCTGCTGCTCAAGTCGCTTCTGCCGTTGCTGCTCCGACAGAGCCTGCTACTGCTTCCAGTAGTTCTGCAGGCCGTGTGCAGAAGAAACGAAAAGCTCGCCCGGCGGCCAGAAGCAAACGCGGACTCAGTTTGCTTAGAAAAACAGGCGTCTCCCCAAAAGCATGGCGAAAGGTAGCAAAGCAAGGAATGCTGCACGCAGAGCAGCCGAAAATAAAGCCGAAAACCACGACCCCTGTCGTCCTGAAGCCGCGCGAGGGGGAGCTGATTGTCCCTTTCCAGTCGGCAGCAGAGCTCCATAAACAGGGAAAACAAGGGGAAGAACTTTGTGGACAAACCGCGCTGCGGTTCTTGGAGAGTGGAAACCCTGCTGTGCCTAACACCATCGACGAGCTGGCTGAAATTTTTGTACAAATAATGAAAAACAAAAATCACACGCAGTCAGAAGCCGAATGGCGTCACAAGCTCCGGGTACTATTTTATCTAGCACTATGTTGACGCACGCCTTGTTTGTCTCATCGCATACTAGAAGTTCGGCAAAGAAGACAAGAGCCCAGCAACAGCTGGTCCCTCAAACAATCCATACTTTTGCTGCGGCCGCGCAATTTCTGCATAATTCTCTTTCCAACGGCATCGAGAGACGAAGGTCACTGATTCTTAGCTGGTTTTATTTTCCACAGAAAAAACAATTTCTGGATCATCTGCAACATACAGGTCGTCCGTCTACCCGAGTATCCGGGCATCCTTTTTGCCGCTGAAGACAGCCAACTCTTCTGGGCCATGCAGCGGGCGTTCGTGCGCATGCAGCAAGAGAGTGGGAAACAAAACATTTCCGCATCGCCGGTCTATAACTCCGGTGCGGCACGCACTGAGGAGTACTGGCACAAGTTGTTTCAAGACTATGTTGAGGTGTTGGATTTTGTGGACTTGAAGCACCGCCAGCAGCGGGGCTTTTTCAAGGCACTGCACACAGCATTTCTGTCGAAGTATGATAATGCTGCGCCAGAATCCACTAATTTTGAGCTGGCCGGAGGTTTTGAGTACGCCTTTCAGGCTTTTCGGAAAAGGAACACAGCCACAACTTCGCCTAACGACGGAAATAGAGACGCCGTTCTTGCGGAAATCAAGGAGCGCCACAAATCTGATGCGTCCTGGGCTTTATCAGCTATGAACCGGGGCGGGCGAGCCATGTAAGCGGGAGAAGCACGAAGTTGCGCCTAGTAGTCAAGCACCCCAAAGCTGAAGCGTGGTTCCGCCACTGAGCGAATCCATTGCAATCGGATTTTGTTTCTGCCCGCTGTTCGACTTTTTCCTTTTGGTACCAGAAATTCTTGACGATGTAGGAAATTATAGCACTCCGCCGCCCTTTGTGAAAGAATGCCACTATAGTGTCATCTTGATTTTTATCTTCGACAATAAGCGCAACTTCAAGTAGTGCCTACTTTTCTTGTCGACAACAGCCGAGAACCATTTCTACAACGTGTATGATTTAATTTCATTCTGCCTTATCGAGCGCAATACAATTTTTTGAGAGTTTGCGCAGCGAAACTGTCGTTGCGGCAGACCAGAAGACATCTCAGATGCCTTCAAGTTTTTTTGAGGTAGCATTGCATGACCAACCCAGTAAACACACATAAGTACTGCAACAGCACGTCTAGAACAAACAGTGAAGCAGAACAGCCTTCTCTTTTCATCACGCTATCATGCGGCGTCCTTTTTACACGAAGATGCGCCAGAGTCGTGGCGCCGCGCAGTTTGATGCAGCGTAGATGCACTTTTTTGTGCAGAAGAAACGCGGCGCAAAAAATAAATCGCGACAGAAAGGGCTTTTTGTGAAGCCATACGTATTGACACCGAGGCAAAACTAAAATCCACATTTGCATCAAGACCATTTTCGTAGAGAGTGTCGGCCATATTCATTTTGTGTGGGCGAGCTGAGCAATGATCGTATTTTGAACAGTAAGGATTTCATCGGCAGACTCTACTCTAAATTTGTGCACAATCTACGCTTCCAACCCATTGTTGGTAGATGAGAGTGGCGAATGCTATTGCATAGAATTTTAGCTCTACACGATGCATGAATGACATGCTTACTGAAGTTTTTGAACCCGCGCAAAAATGCGGCTAGCATGATGGCTTTCCCGTGTCGACATGGTGCCGCCGCGCGTTTTGACCACTTGAGTTGTGGCACCACGTGTATAGTTGAGGTACCTACTAGTTTATTTATTTTTGCGCGGGCGGTCCAAAGAAAACACACGAGGGAGTTTGCAAGAAAAAAAACAAAACGCAAAAATTGCGTCACGATTTTAACACCCATGTACAATCTGCCACTTCCCATTGCACAAAAAAAACCAAAGGAAATTCTGATAGAAGCATCAGAAGTTTGACTATTTTCCCCTTTTTCATGCGAAGGGTCAGCAAGTAATCCAGCCGTGGCATCCTGACTAAACGGGCAAAATCCCGCTGTCACAATAATTCACCATCTCATTTTCGTCGTCGGCTTCACCTTGAAATAGATTTTTTTCAGAATTCTGTATCCATGAGATAATCATTTGTCATTTCATTCTGATTTCTTATCCGGATGTTGGCATGATTTCGAAATATTTCTTTCTTTCTTTCTTTCCATGCCCGGGCATGGCGTCAAATGTTCAAGGTCCAAAAAGTTCCGATGTATTCTCTTTTTCCTCTCTCTAGTGGTCCTTCGTGTCGAAATATTTCTTTGAATGATGAAGAAAATCTCAATCATGATCATGGAAAAATCAGATTGATAGAACGAAATTCCAGAATCCAAAATCATATTTTTCTTTTTCAAATGAATCATTCAAAAAGTGATTCTCTAGGAGAATATAGAAATAATCGCAACTAAATTGCCTCGGTTTTTCTTTCTTTCTGGTCATCTCATATCTGGAATATTCAAATATCGATGATAGATTCAAATTTGTCGTAGGTGTAGGTCTTCTTGATCGATCGGTTGAATAGAAAATAAAATGTTGCACCAGAGATCCGATATCCACAAAAGATTCCATCTAGAATTCGTGTTTTTCAATCCAACATAGAATTCGTGGTTTTTATCTTTCTCATAGGTAAAAAAAAATCAGAAAAAATATCAAGAGATTCTGTTTCTTTCATCCACATCCATGAGTGGGTCCATAATTCAATTTCATCATGTTCATCTCTCAAATAAAATACATTGACTTTTTGATCGATAATGAATTCATTGATTCGAATAATGGAAGATTCGATTGAGATGATTGTCTGCATAAATCTTTCGGATCGATTCATTTTTTAGGGTCTTGATTATTATTTTGAAGTCATGGCTTTTCTTTCTTTCTGGGTGGTCATGTCATGGGCATGATTCAAATTCATCGTAGGCCCGGTCCGAGATTGTCCTTCTTCTTTCATCATCAATTCGTTCTCTCTCAAAATTAGCATAATGATAAATCTGAAATAATGTTGTGAAGATAAATCGATTACAATTGAGTTTGAAATCCATCTAAGAAAATATTTAAGAAGTTCTTCCTATCGAATTTTCAGAAAATAATAGCAAGTTGTTCTCGTCGAGAATAAGAAAATGAAAATCATAAGAATTCATTTATTGAAATAGCGCTAGACATATGAGATGAAAGAACGATTTTCAACCGGTTCCATGTGACCACTCGCAACAAACAAACAAACATAAGAATTCAAAGTGAATAAGAATAGTAAATCTATTTTGAGATTTCTATTTGTCAATAAAAAATCCAATGTCTATGTTTATTGTTTTTCTATTCCAAAGCTCCTTCGATTGTTTTCATCGTTCTGTGATTCCTCCCATGTCCAGATTTTTGGGTAGCTTCCTGGTTTCATTCTTTCTTTCCATTCAATCTGGGTATAATGTCAATGGTTGAAATCTGTTCTAATCATCCGATCGAGATGAATATCGAAATTGATTGAGAAAAAATGGTCTTCCGATCGGATCTATCATTTTCAGGATTGGATGAAATGAAAATGATAAAAGAGATATTCCCACAAAGAAATTCCAACATAGAAGATATCTATCATCTTGTGAATATCATATGGAAGATCTCCTTTCTATTCTTTTCGATTCCATATCAAATATCTTTTCCATACGAAAAAAATTCATAGATGTTTTCCCATATGAATTTCTTCTGATTTCATATGAGATTTTCTTTGTTCTCAATATGAAAGAAATATATCGTTGCAACTTTTCTTCTGGATATCAATCTTCTGATGAGATATTCGTGAATTCCTTCGGAGATTTCATGGAATCTTTCATGAATCAAGAGATGTATCGAAATTTTATCCAGATATAATATTGCAAAAGATATGTGGATGGATATGTAGTATTTTCTTTATCGCGATGAAGATGGAATCAATATCGTGATCAAGATGAAGACGCAGATTAGTCGGATGGATTCAATGCCAAGGTGTATGGTTCGTGTGGTGTTTTCATGTATTCCGATCGTTGGTTCTGGTGGAAATATGTTTCCACCTCCTCGCTTTTTTCCTTTGTTCCAGAGGTGCCCTCCGAGCCACCCCCGCATCTATCTCATTGTGTTTGCGTCCACCAGGCCCCTGTTGCGCGGCGCGTTTTCCCCTCTTTTCGCGCGCGCCCGCGCCGAACGCCTGCGCGCCCCCCCGCTTTCGTCCCCCCCCTTCCAGTCAATGACCCGTCCTAACACCCCTATTGTTGTCTTTTTTCCTCTTCTTTTTTCGTGCATAGAAAACGGCGCAAGCCGCGAGGACGACGAGCCGCCCCGGTTTCCCTTCCCGCCGTCTCCCTTCTCGCCCTTGCCCGCCAGGCCGGCCCTGCCGTCTCCCTTTTTCCCCGTGCCCTTCTTCCCGTCGCCCTTCCCGGCGGCTTCCAGTGGCAATGGCAACTGTGGCAGCCCCGGCGGCGGCATCAACGCCGGCGCCCCGATAGCGGGCGGCCCGGCAGGACCGGCGACCCCGTTGTTCCGAGCAGGTCCAGCCCGCCCGCGCAGCCGTCTCCCATTTGCAGCCGCCCCGCGAGGTCGCTCCCGGCGTTGTTGTTGTTTCGCCGCGGGCGGCCCCGCGGCGCGGGCGCCACTTCTCCAGGCGCGGCCGGCGCCGCTTCGCCCGCGGCCAGCAAGTCCGCAAGACCAACCGCGGGCCCGTCGTTTTGCGGTTCCGGAAAATCTTGCGGCGCGGCGAAAGTCCACGGCCAGACCAGCCCGCGCAATGTCTCCCGCAGATGCCGCGGCCGCGGGTTCAGGTCGATGGGCAACCCTTCCGCGCCTTCCCGCAAAGACCCCCGCAAGGAGGCGCCCGCGGTAGCGGTGTACGCGATCGCGCCGAGGTAGTCCCGCAAGACAAACCGGAAAGAACCGCCCCCGGGCTGTTCCGCGGTCATCGTTAGCGACCCGGGCACGTCGGTGGTCGTCCGGCGCATGCCCATGGCAATGCGTTGCCAGCAAAGGCGGGCCAGCCCCGCGACCGCCGTCCACCGGACTAAATTGCCAAGAAGCCCAAAGACCCCGCCGGCGCCAGTGGTGCCGGGCAGAAATGGAAGCGCCGACAAGTAGCCGCCCCCCGAATAATCGACGGAAACCACAGGAAGGCGGCCCGCGTCGGCGACTGCGACCGCCCCGCGAACCAGCAAACGAAAGCCCTCCATGGGGGAGGGGACATGGCGCGAATGCAGGAGGTCCCCCGACCGCAGCCAAGCACGGCGCGAAGGTGGAACAAGAGCACGCACCAGGTTCCAGCCCGCCCGCCGTCGCAGTCGTCGGCCGGCGTCAGGGTGATGCCCGCCATGTCCAAGGCAAACGGCACAAAGACCAAGACCGCACACAGCACGGCGGAGAAGGGCCGGGCCTGCGGTTCGCGCGGGGTGTGCATCCCCGAACCCAAACCCGCCGCCGGCGCGCCCGCCTTGCGAAACCCGCCCGCGCTCTGCTTCTTCGGCGGCATCTTCCGCTGCGTCTGCTTCGCCCGAAAAACAAGAGCGACCCGCTCGCGCCCGTTTCTCTGTTCTTTTCTTTTTTCTGCGCCAGCAGCTCCTGGCTTCTGCAGGTTTCCCCAAGTTCTTTCGGTTCAGCTCCGCGCCTAAATTTATAAACTAACAGAACGAGTCTCGACTTCCCTGCTCCTTCTACAGCTGTTCTTGCTTTACGGCTTCCCTCGCTTCCTACCTTGGGGAGGGGGTTCCCTTCTTCTTTTTTTCTTTCCTCTTCCCTGTCCAGGTTTTTTCAATGCAGTTTCGTCGCGCCCCGAAGAGGCCCCCTGTTCTATCTCTCTTTCTATTTTTTTTCCTGCTAACTGCGCGGCCACTCAACGCTTTTACTTTTCTATCGTACGTGCGAAAAGTAGTGGCTTCACCGACACAGGCGCTTCCCGTCTGAATTCTTCCGCTAAGCCGATCCCTGTTTTTGTCTGTCTGTCTGCGCACGGACGAGGCCCGGCGCGCGCGCCGATTTTTTTTTTCTTGCAGTTTTTCTGAAGCTGGAGCATACCTCTCTCTCGATGCGCATACCTATCTACACACCCAGAGATAGCCGCCCAACAGATAGCAGCTAGCGGGTAGAAGGAAGTAGCGACGTGCCTTTTCGTGATCGTGTCGCTCGGTAGAAGAAAAGCCCACCGGAATGAAGAATGGGCATGAATCGGGTGGAGGGAGGCAGCCAATTTGCCAAAGTAGCTAGGCCACTGATTCCATATTATTCACGATGGATCACATCGAGATGGTCAGACGATGTCCGCCATTTGTTTCGTAATGATTCGCGTCGGAAGGAGTGTGCTTGCTCGACCGGGCCACGTGGTATCAGTCACTCCTGTTGTTCCGGTTCTCTTTCTCGTTCCCGTATTCTCTCGGCCCCCCCCCGGGGGCCGGGCCCTGGCCCATCGGTCCCTCCCAGATTGTTAGGGAGCTAGGCTCCGGGCGGATATTCTTTCCGCGGGGGGCGGCGCGGTTTAAATAGATGGCGCCGCTTTTCTGTGTCGCCGTTTTGTCGTGTTTAGTCATTGGGGCCGTTTCGGGTCGAGGGTCCGGCTTTTCTTTTTCTTTGCCTGTCAGTCTCGATGGGCGTCCGGCAGGTGATCGCATCGATCAGGAGGGGGGGCCTTCCGGGCGTCCTTCGGTGTGTTGATTCGGGTGGGTTTGTTCGCTTCCTGTGTTGTGTCGAAGTTAGCAGCTGGGCCCCGGGATCGTTTCCGGGTCGTGTTGGTGGTTCTGGTCCGGATCTCTTTCCGATGTGAGCGAGAGGGGCGCGCTTGATAGGTTCGACCGAGTCGATCGCAGGCGCCGTATTCTCCGGCCCGGGTCAATCTTTGGGGCCCCGGTGAATCAGCTTCCGCACTTTAGGGGCAGCGCCGTAGCAGTCCCGGCCCATCCGGTTGCTACCGTCTTGCGTAGTTGCAGCAGTGGGGGGGGGGCCGCCGCTCCGGCACGGGGGTCTTTTTGTCCCGCGGGCGAATCGCCGCGCAACCCTTCCGCGCCCCCTCCTTTTTTTTTTATTTCCCGGCGCCGATCTTGCCGGGCCGCTAGCCTCGGCCGATTGTTGGCCCGATCCCCCGGAATGGTTGTCGGCCCTCTGCCCCGAACGTTTCCGCGGGAAGCAGCTCCCGGCCGGTGGTTGAGGGGTTCAGCGCCCCGCGAGAGGTATCGTCCGCGAACGCCGGAAAAATACCGGCCGGGCCTATCTATGAAATTGATCGCCTCCCCCGAAGGGGCGTCTGTGCAAGCGGCCGGCCTTAAAAAGAGGGGGGAAGGGCGGCGGGGGGGCCAAAGCCGGCCGGCCGGGGGTTTTCCCGGCCTCGAACGCGGGGCCGCGGTCTCGGAATGAATAACATTCCCGGCCGCAGTATTTTCTCCCGGGCCGAGGCGTTTGCGTACCGCGCTACTTGCGCGCCGCATGCCCCGGCCGTCGCCTTTCAAATAAGAACGCCCCGGCGCTTCACGCCCCGCGCGCAGGACGGCAAGCAGCCGCTTTGCGGGGGGGGGGGGGGGGGGGGCGGAAAGGGTGGCGCCGCGCAAAGCGTTGCCCGCTGCCGGCCTATTCCCGGGCGCACAAGAAGGGGCGCCGCCGGGGGGCGGGATCCTGATGGTCGACCGAAAGGGCGGAGCCGGTCGAGCGCGATTCGCTTGCCCGAGGCCAGCGGAAAGCGAGCGCCTTGCGGCCAAGGGAGTAGGCCCGGCGCACCAAGGCGGGGGAAGAGGCCGCATAGCTTCACGGCGGGGGCGGCGGCGGGCGCAGGCAGGGGGGGGGGGGGGGCGCGCACCTTATGAATTCTGGGCGATTTTGTTTGGGTAGCCATTGGATTCCCGCCCGGGATTCGATCAGATTCTGTTGATGGAAAGGAAGGGAAGAAACCCACAGGGGCCACCCCTCCGGGTTGGTCTTTTCTGCAGATTTCATGGGCACTTCACCAAGGCTGGACCTTTCAAAAATTTTTGAACTTTTACAATTTCTGCAAAATTTCTGAAATGAGAATTATTGCGTTTAACAAAATGCCGGAAAAGCAGAAACGTCATCGGCGTGCCTTTTGCATTGTCCACAAGGTCCACAATTTTGAGATTTTTGCAAGTTTTGGACTTCCGAAAACTCTTTGAAATTTTTGAAATCGCAAAAATCTACAATATAGGGGCTCATGCAGGCAAACTTGACTAGTAAAATAGTGCATGACTTTTAATAGGTAGGCAGGCACTGCGTTTGTAAGGCAATTCCCTTCATTTTCGAGGTTCTCTACAACTGTGAAAAATCTTGGAAATTTTTTAGTTTTAATAAATTTTGGGAAAGGTATTGAATTGCAGGTAATTTAAGCAATGAATTGAAAGCAAATGCCTAAATATTAAGTCAATGCGCTATTTTTTTGTATGTGTGCCAAGATTTTTGAGCTAGCGTCCCGCCTTTGCTTTTTGAAAATTTTAGAATTTTCAAAAGTCTCAATGTTTCAGCATAATTCAATTAAAGTGGAAATTTATATTGATACCTTGCCACTATATAGACTCCAACTTCATATCATTCTTCTAGTTGGTCGACATTTTCTGCCTTTTTTTCAATGTAAGCTATTTTTTCTGTTTTTGGAATTTTAGAAAATGATTGAGTTTGGCCAACATTTCAGCATATAACAAGCACTTAATAAAAGGAAATGCCTTAAAATATTTGGAAAGCGCTCTTCTTCTGGATTTTCTGTGATATACTATCTGTTTTTCTGGTGTCGTCAGTTTTTTCAAAAAAAGGGCTACCCCTTACAGGCTCCACTTTGGCAGTTTTTCACGGTTGGACCAAGGTGTCAGACCGCGAAAAGGCTACCAGTGGGCTGTGCGATGCGCCGGATTCCGTTCGATGCGGACTATCTGGGGCGCCGACACAAGCGGGCTTTTCGGAAATTCCTGGACGCGGTGGGCCCCAGCCCGGACGGCCCCGCAGTTCAGCTCCGGCGGGCGGGCAAGGGTGCAGCGGGATCCGCCGCGCCTCGCGCAGTGGCATTCTCGCACCGCTTGCCCGGCGCGGGCTGTCGCAATAGGCCCGGTCCAGCGGCGGGAATTTTCGAACACGAGCCCCGCGTCAGCAAGCAAGGACATTGGGCCGTCCGCTGCTGCCGCCGCGCGGTGCTATTCTGCACCGCATCCCGACCGCAAGAGCCTCCGCTGCGGCGAACAGAGAATACGAAAAAGCAGGAGGAGGGGCGCGGTGAAAGATTGAGTCGGCGGTGGCCGATCGAGGCAGGACGCAGGGCTGTATGCACAACGCTGCGCGGCGCTGCTTTTTCCTGCAGTTGTGCGCGATCGCCGGCCGCGGCCCGCGCACGCCGCTGCGGCAAAGCGGGTGAAAGCTGTGCGGGCCACCACACTGCCACCCCCGCGGGCGTAATCGGGCTCGACCGACCCGAGGGAGCGCGCGAAGTCATTAGCGCAGGACCTCATGGCGGTGTGTCGCACGTCACTCCGGCAACTGGCTTCCACGGCCGGAGCCGGCCTTCGCGGCCGCTTCTGCAAGCGCGCCGGGAATGTGCCGGCGGCCGCCTTACCACTGGCCAGCGCCCCGCCGGCAGACGTGCGGCCGGCCCCGGCTTGCGTTCCCACAATGATCGCCAGGCCGCGGGACGTAAGCATCTAGTACGCCCGCAAGGAATTGTTCACAAATAGTGTTCTCCCTGAAATGTTGAGCTCAAATAAATACCTGCCACCGCCACGCCCGGGCTCACTGCTTGGAAGCTTCCCCCCAAAGAGATCATAACAGGCGCACGAAATATTAATAAATCATGCTCAGCGCGCTCCGTGCGCGTTCGCCCGTGCATCGGGCCGCCGCACCGCCAAAAACCTACCCGGCCCGGCCCCAGCAATCCCGGCTGCATGCCGTTTTATCGCAGTCGAGAAAGACCTTTGCCAGCGACGTTGCCATACCGACTGGGAGCAGATCCGGAGGAACGTCAACGCCAGCAACTACTTCAAGAGGCAGTTTAACCACGACCCCCGGCACTTCGCTCCCCCTCGCAACAGCCCAACCCAACTCGCCCGCGGCCGCGCAGAATCTGCGGCACGCGGACAAGAAGCAAGAAAACCTCTCCGCGGCGGAACAAACCAAGCAGTTTTACCTCCAGGAAGCCATCCCCACGCACGTTACGACCGCGGGGTTTATCCTGGATGAGGAAGAGATCAAGCGACGGAAGAACTTCCCGGTGCGGCGGAATTTGCTGAACACAGAACGGCCTTCCATTCGCCAAGAGCTGCTTGAGGACCCCGACCGATTGAAGATGGACGACCCCATCACGCGGCAGGACAAGCGACTCGCGGCGGAATTTAACAAGCTGAACACGATGCGGTTTGACATTCTGCGCAGATTCAAACAGGAGACAAACCCGGTGTTTATCCTGTGGAAAAACGTACCTACCCCATAGTCAAGTCGGTAAATTTGCAACACACATCTCCAAGTTTTGGGAGTTATGCATGACAAATTTGGCGTCGTAGTGTAATCCTGTTCAGCTAGTGCAGTAGCATCACACATGTAGCACATGGCGCTGATTGTAGCATGACAAATTCAGAAACACGAATAGAAAATGCCTCTCATGGGGCTCCGCACGAGAAATATTTTCAGCATGCAGATTTGCATGACAACTTTGGGGTGGGGACGTTTTTACAAATGAGAGCGCTCCTCTGGAATTTCTTCTGCGGGTCGTTTGTCGGTTTGTGGTTGATCTACATATCAAATGCAAAAATGTCTGGATCGGGAAGAGTGCAAGACTTGTCATGCACATTTTGAATGGCCAGTGAGGTTTGGAATGCAGAACCTAGCATGATTACAGATTCTGCGAGGTCTCCATCATGCCTACCCTGCATGACAAACTCCCTCGCAACTTGGTCGAAAGTGGATAGCTTTTGGTCATCATGCAACATAGATTTTTGCATGATTCTGATTTACCATGACAAGTTCCACTTTTCCAGACCCAGACACTTTTGCATTTGATACTACATGCTCGTGTGCTACATGGCGAAAGACGCGGAGTCGTTCACGCAGTCATTCTATGCATAGATGCAAAAGCAGCGCATTTCAAGTATGTGAACTACGCATCACAAATTTTTTTGATTATCCAAATAGAACACGCAAGAACTTGAACTTGTCATGCTGTGGCATGCACGAACGGCTACACCTACATTTTCATCCATGCAGAAATATGCAATTCGCATGCACTACGTCCAGTGCTGCTTTTTGTTAAACATAGTCATACGTTTGTGTTCGACCTGTTGCGGTTTTGGTACAAAGACGATGTAGCGGGGTTCTACTACCGCTTGCGAAAAATGGCGTACAACCAGCGGTTCCCAACCATGCAACTATCCGCTTCGGGGGAACTTATCAAGTGCAAATATGTCTGGGTCTGGAAACTTGTAATGCTGCGTTGGGAATAGTGAATGCTCTGTAATGCACAGCCAAGCATGAGAAATATCTGCGCTTCTTTGTGTTGCGTTTTTCGCATGACAAACTGCGTTTTTGCATGACAGGCGAATGGGTCTCTTCTTGGACAGGCATCACAAACTTTTTGGTCATGCCAGACAAGCATGACAAGTCTCGCAATCTTCCAGACCCAGACACTTTTGCATTTGATAGAACTGCGGCAGAAGTTATTCTCTCTAACCGCGGAGGAGAACTGGTACGGGTGCGGAGAGGAGAAGTTATTGGAGTTTTCGAAAATTCTGGTAGCAAAAGATGCTACAACTACACCGGGCGTTGCTCCTCCGAGCGTCGTAGCGCTCAACGAGGAGATGAATGGTTTTTCCATCCGTGATTTGAAAGACCGGAGCTACGGCGCCCCGCTACGGCACGCCGCAGCGAAACAAAGGGCGCGGGAAGAGGGTCGGCGGGTTGAAGTAGAGGGGCGGGATGAAGAAGTAGGTTTTAGTAAAACTACTGCAGCGGATCATCTTGTTCAAAGCGGCACGCAGGGACGAGAAGAAGATCATGCTGCAAGAACCATTTCTGCGACAAAAATTTCCTCCGGTTTGGACCTCCATTGTCCGATACAACTAGCAAGCGGGTTGGACTTCACGGGCGAGCTCGCCTACCCGTTTGGCGGCTGCGGGTTCGGGATGGCGACGGTCGGGCCGTTTGAGATCACGACGGGACAACGTGGTGATGACTCTGGAAAAGAGAAAAATCACATGAATCCCGCAGAAAAATTTCAGGAGTTTTTGCAAAACGAATTTTCCTCTTATCCGCAATTTGCGAATTCAGAACTGGTTTCACCGCAGAGTAACACACTCTCTTCCTCCTCTCCCTCTCGTTCTTACACGCAGAAACTGACCCTAGACCAGTTCGCGAACCTCCCTCTGTTCAGAGACCGGATCGAGCGGCAGGTGCACAACTCGGTGCGAAAGAACGTCTTGCTCGGCGTGCATTTGAAAATTTCGTCTTCGCAGGACAACTTTGACGAAGTGAAAGCGGCGGTTAGACTGGTCCGGGAAAAAGCGCAGTATGTTGTTTTGGAGCTTGGTGAAGGAGTTGTTGAGACGAGAAATAAAAGTAGAGCGGGTGGTGAAGAAGCTGTGCCTGGTGATTCTTATTCCGCAACGCAAGCTGCCTTACAGGACCTGCTACTCTCCGTCGAAACAGCAGCAGCATCGGACGACGATCAAACTATTTCCGGCGAACATCTGAAAGACCGCCCATCAGAGCATACAGAAGGACAAAACTTCGGCGTGTTTTTTCAGGTCAACAGTAGAGAGGAACTGGAGGACTTTTGGTTAAATGAAGAACACGACGTGGTGGAGAAGTTGCTTGATGCGATTTCAGAAGAGAATTCTGATGGGACTACACCCTCGGCAAGTACTAGCTTCGGCTTCCTCATCGCAAACACGAACACCACCGCAAGACGAACGGCGAGGTCTGAAGAAACAAAATTGATGGTGGAAAAATTGTTCAAAAAGCTTCACTACGACGACCCGAGATTCCCAGCTTGTGGTCATGCGAAAGAACAGCAAGCGAAGCATCATTCTCCTGCAGGGACGCTGCAAGGTAGTTCCAAAAATCCAGCAACGAAAAAGAACCTTCGCTGGGCCATGCCGATCATCGCTTCTCTTGGCGGAACTGAATCCACCACTGTCGTGAACGCCGCGGACCTGATGGAATCGGGAGCGGCGATTGTGCAGATCCGCGATTTGTTTATCGAAAAGGGAGTCGCGGGGCTGGTGGATTTCCGCTCGGAACTCGGGTCATTTCTCGGCCTGCGCGGTGCGCACTGCGTGTTTCAGCTGTGCGGGAAGAAGTGGGCCGTGGCTAAATCTTCGTCCGGAAGTAGCAATTCCTGCTCCGCTGACGAAGCAACAAGCAACGAAGCGGGTACGACGTCGGGTGATGTCAAGACAAAAAAGCGGAGGAAGGTGTACCGGCCGGGGAGTCCGCAGCTGGGGAATGCGGTGACGCTGGGATACACCTGAAATACAGTTCTTGCTGTGCAATTGCATATGTGTACTTACGCATCTTCAAGCGGTTTTGAAAATGAATGGACAATCGTCTTGCGCGATGTCTGAATTTCGATCCTGGCTAGCGCTTCATCAGATGAATTAAGCTGACGATATACCTTGTCGTGGTCGCTGCTGTGTGTTCTCACCATCTCGTGTTCGCTTAAGTCGTGCGAAACGCTTAAGCTAAGTCTTGCGAAAGACTTAAGCATTGCGAACGACTTAAGGTCTAAATTCGCGCGAACGGCTTAGGGACTGCGAACGACTTAAGCTAAGTAGTGCGAACGACTTAAGGATTGCGAACGACTTAAGAATTGCGAACGACTTAAGCTAAGTAGTGCGAACGACTTAAGGATTGCGAACGACTTAAGAATTGCGAACGACTTAAGCTAAGTAGTGCGAACGACTTAAGGATTGCGAACGACTTAAGTTTTAAGTCGTGCGAAAGACTTAAGGTTTGCGAACGACTTAAGGTGTAAAGTAGTGCGAAAGACTTAAGGATAGCGAATGACTTAGGTCTAAAGTCGTGCGAAAGAGTTAAGGATTGCGAACGACTTAAGGTCTAAAGTCGTGCGCAAGACTTAAAGACTGCGAACGACGTCAGGTCTAAAGTCGTGCGAAAGACTTAAGAATTTCGAAGCACTTAAGATGAACTGCGTAGGGTTTGATATCGACTAGCAAAATTTCATGAGCGACAACTAGAGCGAGAGCCCGAGCGAGTAGAGATGTGAGCGCTACGAGGGATGGAGTGGTCGCATACGATTTTACTTCGAGCAGCGCATACCTCGTGTCGACAGTCAATAAAATGTTTCTTTGGAACAACATCGCTGACTAGTTCTTCGTAACTTGTTTCAGGCGGAAAATACAGTTTGATAAAAAGCGAACAAAAAAAAATCATGACGGTGCTGAGCAAAAGCACCCGGCAGGCGGAAGTGAGTCTGCAACGCGGGATGGACTTTCTGTTCGCGCCAAGCACGACGGCCACGGGTCTCGCAACGCTGACATTTGTGGAGCAACCGGTGGAAGATATAGCAGAAGTGGGTCTGGAAGTAAAAGAGCAAGTTGTGGTTGTCGACCAGGACTTCGACATCAATTCGATGCTGACCTTCTTGTCCGACCAAGTTTCGTCCTGCTTCAACGGAGGTCTTGAGCAGTCCACGTCCTCTTCTTCTAGCAGCAGAAGTAAAGCAGCAGCTACGAAGAATTTGCTAAGCAGCTACTGTCCAATTCTGCTGACAAGAACCGTGAAGACATCATCTTCCAGTTGTAAGACAACTTCTTCTACTTCCACGAACAGTAAAAAGACACAAACTACTGAGTTTCCGGAATCCCCCCAGCAGCTCGCGATGCGGCTGATCGCAACGGCATCCCTCAACGTGGCGACGTTTTGGAAGTGGAAACTTTTGTCGATTTCCACCGGCGGGTTGTCCAACCTTTTCGTCCAGATGTCCTGTGTGCCCATCGTCGCCCCGTTTAACACCCCACCCGTCGGCTACGTGCACTGGAGGACGAATAAGCGGGCCGTGGCGTTTCAGAGGTCCCTGTTCTTTTTGTGTGTAGCGCAAGGGGGGTTGGCGATGGCGAAGTTTTTTGCGGGGAACTTGATCGGGGGATTCTTCGACGCGATGATCGCGGGAGTATAGGCTGTTGCGTTGTTTTGTCATGCAAAGAATCGCAATACCTGTTGGTTCTGTCATGCGGTTCTTCTAATTGAAAAAAAAAAGATTGTCAATCACAAAATAAACTAGACCGGCCTCTACGCCGCTTGCCCGGACGGCGTGACGATGTTGAGTACGTACTTGGTCTATCAAATGCAAATATGTCTGGGTCTGGAAGGTCGCAACTTTTCATGCTATTTTTGGATTCTGAAAAATTTTGTATTGCATGACCAGCAAGCCGGACAGGGCGTTTCGCATGCGGAAGGCGCGTCAGGAAGCCCGGTAAAAGTCTGTGATGCTAGGTCATGCATTACAGGCATCACCGGTCATGAGAAATACGCATGACAAATCCTGCATTCTTTTAAACCCAGACATATTTGCAATTGATATGATCTTCGCGGGCTTCAACGGCGTGATGGACATGTTGCAGTTGTTATCAAATGTAAAAATGTCTGGCTCTGGAAGAATGCAACTTGTGATGCTGCATTTGGATTCCAAAAAAATCTGTATTGCATGAGTACCAAAGGGAATGCAATTTCTGCTACGCTGAGAAGGCATTTGTCATGCGGAATAGGCATCAAGAAGCCCTCAAGAAATCTGTATTGCAAGGGTATGCATCACAGACATCATGGCTCATGCAAAACGTGCATGACAAGTGTCAGAATCTTCCAGACCCAGACATTTTTACACTTCATAGTTGTTGCAGACTTACCACGGGATGATCCCACTGTATTGGGTTTTGTGATTTTTTTGAGTAGTTGCTCTTGCGTCCTTTGCATGACAAAATTATGTTGTTTTGTTGCATGAATGCGCATGACAAACTCTCCATCCCAGGTACCTCCTCCCCTTCCAGTATCCGGCTTTCCGCCCGATTTTGCTCCTCCTCGGCTGCTACTACACGTACGAATTTCACAAGGAGCTCGCGGCCATTTTCGGCGGGTACGGCTGCGCGGGTTCGCAGGACACCTATTTCGTCGAGGCCATGTCGCACAAGATCTGGGGCAACCCACCTGGGTGCAGCGAGCACGAGGCGCGGCTGGAGGAATCGGGTACGGGCTCCGGGTTCGGCAACAACCCAACGGGGATCAACAGCAACCCCGCGCCGCAGAACTGGGGCAGTGGCATGTTGGGCGGAACGGGTGGGGGTCCGGCGGGTGGAAATGGTATCGCGAATCAAAGCAACACGGCGAACGTCCAGATGCCGCAGCAAAGACGGTTTAACCCTTTTGGGGGTGAGGGGCGACGGTTGGGGGCGGAAGATCGGTAACTAAGGGGTTGAAAATATTAACCTGAAATACGATCTGTTTAGAATTTAGTTCGGTTTTGATTTCAATACAGTTTCTTGATTCGTGGTTCGATTAATACTGTTGAAAGGAAGTAACACTATACAGCTCGTGCCTTGTTTGAGTCAAAATTACGGAAGCGTATAAAGTCGTTGTCGCAGAACTCGTGTTTGATATTCTCAAATTTCACCAAGACCAGGAGGCATTCCTGCTTCAAAAACTAGGGATAAAATTTTCGTTTTGATGCACCACCGGTGAGCAGCTAGGTACAAGAAGCTTGCTTTCTTCGAAGAAATAGTATAAAGTGTTGAACGAGCTCTCTTTATTGCAGCGGGGAGAATAATAGACTCGTCGCAGAATATTTTTTCACAGAACTACAAACCTGTTCTGAATACTTGACAGAAAATTTATCAAACACAGATGGCGCCCAGCGTTGGCGCAATTGCTAATCAGCTTCAGCCTTCCGCAGCAAGCTGTCTTAGCGTCGGTTCTTTTTGTTCGCTTTGCGTTTTTTGAAAATTTTGCGTGTTTGCTTCGAGTGTAGCCTGTAGCTTTGAGCGATACACGTGCTGTCTGTCTTCTTTCCGAGTGGCGATGCAAGTGCTGTCCGTCAAAAACCTGAGTGGCGCTTATTTCTAATCCACGTCGAAAAATGCGTTTTTTTCCGCTCCACAAGCAGCAAAATGAAAACCGTTTGAAAAATGAATCAAAACTAGCGTGGTCATAACACTTACTGTAAGATCATTTTTTCCCGCCCAATAAGTTACCCTGTACCTCCTCCTGCGACCCCCTTAGTTACCCGAACTTTTACCCCACCGGTTGTGCCCCTCTGTTGTACCACCACCCCTCACTAAGAAATAAACCCCCAATAGTTGATATCCCAACCACATCAAAATGGGCAATCAAATCCAAGGAAAATTCGTCGGGGCTGACACGTGGGTCGTCGGCCTCGAGCACCCGATCGGCCTGGACTTACCGCATTTACCAGAAGACTCCGTGGAACTCCTGACCAGCGCGCACACGAGCTTGACCTACCAGCTGTTCGCCTCCGCGAGGTTATTGAAAGTGAAGAAGGAGCGGACCAGTGCGCTTGTACCAGCTTCAAATTCGTCTCTCGCGTTGGTGAATGGCGGGACTAGAAGAAGCCAACACACCACGGCGTTATCCAGCTTGTCCAAAAGCCCGGTGCCAGTCGCGGTGTTGGACTCAACTTCTACGCCAGGAGATGGGAATTCGCCGACTGATCGGGTGGTCACCGGTTCAGCTGGAGGTTTCTTCGCCCCCGCTGGTACTGCAGATCCAACCGGCGACGCTGATTTTGTCGCACGGCAAACCCTCTACCACGACTACAACAAGCACCACTTGATCACGACATTCCCCACCTCCGCGGCGATAATTCTACCGGAAGAGGACTGTTTACAGCACGATGCGGTGTTGCGTCTCTCCTTCTACTTAGCTGAGTCGAAAGATCAGTTCGAGAAAGACGGGATTAGCGTGAAGATATCCGACTTGTTGATCCCTCTGGAAAAAGCAGTGGAATTGGCGAATAACCGAGACTGCAAATTTTGGCTCGCAATGAACTGTTTCGTGCCGGAGAAACAAAAGTTGGTGAAAGAATTTGAAAGACTGAAAGCGGAGCATGGAGCACAACAGGCGAAGATGAAAAGGGAGAGTGAATTAATCGTACCGCTCAATACTAGACCCTCAATAGTGATAACCCAACAACCCTCCTCCCCGGAAATCGTCAACTCCTCCTCCGACATCTTGCAGCACTACTCCAGCAGGAGCACCGCCGGGCTGGGGTCATCCGCCATCCGGCCAACATCCACGAACGCGATGTTTCTCCAGCAGACGCTGGGAGAAACGCCACGGGGAGAAAGAATCGCTCTGCCGAATTCCGCGAGAAATTTGCAGTCTCAAGGCGCGGCGCATTCCGCCGACGACTTGCTGATTACGCCGAGATTGAACAACAGCACAACAGCTTCCCACCGGGGGGTGGGGGTGTTACCAGGCACCACACAAGCTTTGAGCACACCGCGAGATTCTAATTTCCCGTCCGGTGTAACCCCGGTGAGAATAAACCAATCTGGCCGGAAATCCAACCCCGCGTCCCCACCCATTCCCGAAGAAGATTATGAAGAACGAAGAAGCACCGGCTCTGCGTCGATTGTGAAGAGTAAATCCAGCAGCAAGCCGAGTGCGGTCAAGAGAATTGAAAACTTTTCATTAGCGAAAGGCAGTAAGGATTTACCGGACGTGCGGAAGTTCCCGACGAGCGCGGGTGATTTATCCACAGAAGAAATCGTAGAATTCCGCAACATATCCATTGCAAAAGTCTCGTATTCGTAGTGCAGCTATGCGTGGCAAATCTCTTTTCTAACCTGCGTCTGCATGACAGATTTCATTTTTTCGCTTGAACAACAAATTTGCCATGCAATGACCACTACGCACCATGCTTTTGCAATGCATGCGACACCTCGACAAGCGGGCGCGGCCCTTCGCCGCCGATCGCGAGAAGGAGATCTTCTGGGTCGTCAAACGCGAGTCTGAAGTTGGAGAAGACCTGGGACTCGAAAACGCAGTCGTTTAAGGATTTGATCGAGTTTGAGGAGGAAGTCGGGTTGAACAAGTCGAACACGATTAGTACAACTGCAACCGGGATGAAAATAAAAACTTCTGATGCAGGGGCCGCGGCACAACAACAGCAGCAGGAATTTCTATCGGAGCAGGATTTGGACTTGATTTCCTACCTTTTCGACCGGAGTCTTTCAGACGCGGCAACGGCCAGGTTTTCGCAGCCGAAGATTTGTATCTCCCTGGTCAAGCTGGAGGCGAAGCAGGTAGGAAGTTTTGTGTTTGTGTTGCAAAATTTTTTGCATGATGATTTCCGGGTGTCATGTGCATACCACGCACTATTAAACAAAATTACTTTACGACTCTTTCGCACAACAACTTCTCAGGTCGAGCGCGCCGTCCTCGAAGCTTCGAGCGGGCCTTCTACTCAGGATAATTATTCTGATGCGGTTTCCACATCATCATCTTCCCGGCCGGACCAGAACAAAATCCGCATCACCCGAGAGATCAACCGGTGCTTGCTCCACTCGAAAATGAAGATTTTTCAGCTGCACACCCAACTCGTCCAAGACCTCTGGCGAGTTCTCGCGAAGCAAACCGCCAGCCGGTCTAGCTCGTACGCAAAAAGCGCAACTTCCATCGCAGACTCCGCCACCTCTGACGCTATTCCGGTGGAACTTTTGGAAAAGCAGATCGAAGACAAGTTCGAACTGAAACGGAAGAAGCAGGCGTTTCGGTTCTTATCCGAGAAGAACACGAGTGTTAGGAAGAAAATCGTGTTTTCCTCCTGGCGGAACTACTGCTTACTAGATCCGGTGTCGAAACACAGAAGGTTGTTAATCGACAAAAACGCGAAGTCGAAACTGCGGATGTTTTTGACGGATCTCCAACGGTGTTGCTTCTACGGCTGGTTTGAACTCGTGAAGCAGAAACAGGTGTTATGAATGTACGACTCCCCCTCGTCCCCCTCATTTGTCATGCAAAGTCCCCAATTGATTTGGTCCCTTGTGGCACTGTTTGCATGACAAATTACGGAAGCCCAAACTGTACTACTACATTCGGCCCCTGAACTTGTCATGCACAGGCTCCTGGTGTGTTGGTGTTTGTATTGCTGCTCGCGCCATGCAAATGAGGCGGAGGAGGGTGTTGTGCACTGTCATAGGTGTTAGAGCAGAAGAGAAAAGAAGCGAAGGAAAAAGCGGAAATGGAATTGGAACTCGCCCGGCAGCGGAAATCCAAGCAGATTGAAGACGAACAGGAAAAGCAGCAAATTTTACTATTCAGGGAAAAATCGGAAAGGAAACAGCTGCAAATGCTTCAAGTTTTCGAGAAGAACGACAAGACGAGACTGCTGATTCTCGGGTGGAAAAACTGGATTTTGTTCCACCAGGAAGTTTTAACAGAAAAGCAAATTGAACTCGCGCGGCAGCAGGAACAGGTTTTACTGGAGAAGAAAATCAAATCAGTATCCTGAGTAAAAACGTACCCACACCAGAGTCAAGATGGGGAATCGGCTAGACAAATCCACAAGTTTTGGCCGTTTTGCATGACAAATTTGGATTCGTAGTGTAGTGCTGTTTGAGCTAGCTCAGCAGCATCACAGATCTAGCATACCATGCTGATTGGAGCATGACAAATTGCAAAACACGACTAGAAAATGCTTCTCATGGAGCTCCGCATGAGAAACATTTTCAGCATGCAGATTTGCATTACAACTCTGGTGTGGGTACGTTTTTACTCAGGAT